AACTGCCAACTTATCCAGCATATGTTTTACACAGTGGGTGCCCTTCCAGCTGCAACCCAAATCCGGAAAACACCAAAACACACTCATACAATACAGACAATTTAGTTAATCAATTCCCCTATAGTGCATGTGTTTGGACTGTGGGGGAAACTGGAGCACGAGGAGGAAACTCACATGAACACGGGGAAACATGCAAACTCCACACAGAAATGGGGCCAAGCCGGGACTCAAACCATGACCTTCATGCTACGAGATGACAGTGCTAACCACTGAGCCACCATGTCACCCCGATATAAGCATTATGTTTTTTTTTTATAAATGTATTATTTTTTGATAAAATTATTAATTTTGATACATATACATTGTTTTATTAATTTTTTTCCCTCCTTTTTAACTTCATTGTTGCAGAATAGTTCTGACAGTATCGAAAATGGTATCGAATATTGATCATTTCCAAGGTATCAAAGTTGGAAATTCCAGTATGATGACAACACTACTTGTGAAACTTTTTAAACAAAACTTGGACAATATTCAGGATTGTTTATCCGTGACTGAAGTTTGGTCACTATAATTACATTATATTTTCATATATCACTTTAACACTATTGTTGTACAACAGCAAACTTGCTAAAAATGCTGTGTGGGAATTTTCTGAAGGTGTGTCTCTCTGCTGTTGTGTTTTCATCCATCTTGTGCGCTATGCTTTTCTTAGAAAGTGAAGCCTTATAGAGAACACGCAGAGGCCGTTTTCAACCCAATGCATCTGATAGAGTTTCAGCAACTGGACCAAATGCTGGTATCTGGTTCCTCTGAACAATGCATAGCACAGCCGTCACATTTTCACCACTCACCTTTCATCTGGCGCATATTAAAAGCCAAAAGGCACAACGAATAATTCATATAAACCAGATTATGGCCAATCTGATACACTAAGAAATAAATATATAAAATATAACAGTATTGCTGGCTTATTCATCATTTTTGGGAGATAATACATTTAATATATTCTAAATACTTGTTTCAAATGACTACTTACTAATAAAAATCACTTTGATGAACTGCAGAGTTACATTTTGAAATCGAAAATTGCTGGAAAATGCTATTTAAAGGTATAAATAAAAGGAAAAATTCAGAATATAGAGTCAATCAAATGTTATTCACCAGATATTTCACAGTATTTTTTTACAAAAACAAGTAATACAACAAAACTTAAGAATGACATTGTGCAAAAATACACTTAAATTCACATTAAAGCTGAAAAAATACAACTAGCTGATTTCTAATTTAAAGAATTCTTTACATACTAACTCTCAAACACTAGAACATTGAAATAAGTTTATTTTGCAAAAAAGTGATGTTCTTTCTCAGTATTTTTGTTTTGTTTTCCAGTTATTAAATCAAAAGACAAACCAAAGTAAACATTAAACTTAATAAACAATGCTAAATGACATGAGATGCGTCCCAAACGGCACACTATACACTATGCACTTATGCAGTATGTACTTATACACTTACACACTCAACAGTACAGTAGGCCCTATACGCATGTAGTGCCTTCCCAAATGCAACACTAGTGGGTTTTTTACTAAGCGGAAATTCAAACCGTTTCCCAGATGACGTTTGCCAAATAAGTGACCAAACTACCGAATAAAACCTGCCATGACTAAAACCGTATTCACCATCGGGAGGCGCTATAATCCCTCTCGTAGGAGAATACTGCTTTCACAATCTACAATAAATAAAGTTATCCAACATGTGTGCCGATAGCTCCGCCCTTCCCGCTACGTGAGTAAAGCTGTGGTCGTTGAGTGGGTTGTTGCTAGAGAGGATATGGTTGCGGCCGGAAGATAAAGAGAATTGTTTATATTATTTATTATATTCCCATTTATTGTATTTTATTAATGCCTACCCCAGGCACAACCCTAAACCCAACCGTCACTGTAACGTAAACACAGTAGCTGTACCGAGTATTATTGATGCTATCTATTTAATTACCCAATAAATAGTATTTGTTAACGCCTAACCCCACCCCAACCCTAAACCCGACCGTCACAGTAACGTAAAAACAGTTGTACCGAGTATTATTTAGGTTATCTATTAAATTACCCAATAAATTGTATTTGTTAACGCCTACCCCCACCCCAACCCTAAATCCAACCATCACGGTATCGTAAAAACAGTAGCTGTACGAAGAATTATGTTATCTATTAAATTACCAAACAAATTGTATTTATTAACGCCTACCCCTAACCGAACCCTAAACCCAACCGTCACAGTAACGTAAAAACAGTAGCTGTACTGAGTATTATTTTTGCTATCTATTAAATTACCCAATAAATTGTATTTGTTAACGCCTACCCCCACCCGACACCCTAAACCTAACCCTCACAGTAACGTAAAACAGTAGCTGTACAGAGTATTATTTATGTTATCTATTAAATTACCAAACAAATTGTATTTGTTAACGCCTACCCCCAACCGAATCCTAAACCCAACCGTCACAGTAACATAAAAACAGTAGTTGTACCGAGTATTATTTATCTATTAAATTACATAATAAATAGTATTTTTAACGCCTACCCCCACCGAAACCCTAAACCCAACCCTCACAGTAACGTAAAAACAGTAGCTGTACTGAGTATTATTTTTGCTATCTATTAAATTACCCAATAAATTGTATTTGTTAACGCCTACCCCCACCCGACACCCTAAACCTAACCCTCACAGTAACGTAAAACAGTAGCTGTACAGAGTATTATTTATGTTACCTATTAAATTACCAAACAAATTGTATTTGTTAACGCCTACCCCCAACCGAACCCTAAACCCAACCGTCACAGTAACGTAAAAACAGTAGTTGTACCGAGTATTATTTATCTATTAAATTACATAATAAATAGTATTTTTAACGCCTACCCCCACCGAAACCCTAAACCCAACCCTCACAGTAACGTAAAAACAGTAGCTGTACCGAGTATTATTTATGCTATGTATTAAATTACCAAAAAATTTTTATTTGTTAACGCCTACCCCCACCCCAACCAACACAGTAACGTAAAAGTTGTACCGAGTATTATTTATGCTATCTATTCAATTACCAAACAAATTGTATTTGTTAACGCCTACCCCCACCCCAACCAACACAGTAACGTAAAAAGCGTAGTTGTACAGAGTATTATTTATGCTATCTATAAAATTACCCAACAAATAGTATTTGCTAACGTCTACCCCCATCCCAACCCTAAATATTAAATTATATAAAATCTTAATTATTGTTATATAGTGTCATAAAAAATGCTGCTATATTACTGTGCATATCGCACTTCCAGTTGTCCGCGTATCCAATCTAGACTTTACTCGTTGAGTGCGTGAAGTGTCCAACATTTCACACTTCATTTTACTGGTTAAATAAGTGCATCATCCTGGTAATTAAAGTGCATTTTTTTCAGTGTGAATGCACCATTTACACTATTTATACTACAAAATGGCGTAGAATAGTGCGTAAGTATGCAATTTGGGATGCACCTATTGCGTGGTTTTCATAAGTTTATAGTTAAAACTAAAATATTTAACAAAAAAAAAATTGTACAGCAGTGACAGATTATTTTAAGCATGTCGAGTGTGTGAACTAGCGACATTGAGTTGAGAAATGCAATCCAAAAATGTTTTGCTTGGTGGGGCAGTAAAGGGTTAAGACCTTTTACAAGTTGCACCAAAAGCCTTTAAAAACTTTAAATGAAAAACATCCTGCATTGATTAGCTCGTTAAAAACGTAGGACTTTTTTCAAGAACTCCCAAGAAACCATGTCCTAAAAACAGATTTCATATGTAACTTCATAGGTGACTCAGAGGTGTTTTTGTTTTATTATATTTTACAGGATCTGTTCTGCGTGATTACCTCTTGCTGGACAAAGTCCTCCAACATAATGCACTTCAGTACAAAAAAAACCCTCTTGTGTAATGGCGTTACAATTTCAGCAGTATAATTACAATTACACACACACATATATTGAGGTAAAGTTGGTTTTACAATCACATATTCAGACTTTCTCCTTAATAACATAATTTTCAGCAAAGTAAGTCAATTCTAAATGCCAATGATTATTAAAAGTACAACATTGTTCAGTCAAATAGATAGTGCTAATGTTATTTTCAGTCATATTTACATGCGATTTCAGACTTAAGATTTTAAAGTACCATGGTAAACAATGTAAGTAGCTTGTCAGAAGATGTCACTGAACTAATCAGTAATATCTCAATCATGAATTGTTTGATGATGGTGGTGTTGAGGTAAAGTTGGTGTTATATTCACACATCCAGACTTTCTTCTTAATAATATCATTTCAGAAAAGTAAGCAACTTCTAAATAGTGAAATCTTATTAGCAGCCAATGACATACATTGATCAAAGTGAATTAAATAATTGGGCTAAAGTTAGTTTTGTGTTCGCACATTTGTTCATGTTTGACCAATGGCAAAAGTACAACATTGTTCAGTGCTAATGTTATTTACAAGTTATACTTGCATGCGATTTTGCACCGAATATTCAAAGTACCATGGTAAACAATGCATGTAGCGTGTCACAAGTTGTCACTGAACGAATGGGCGAATATAAAACCAACTTTACCTCAATCAACATATTCACTGTTTACCAGACATGCTTTCATACACGGTAAAGTTGGTTTTATATTCGTACATTCGTTCAGTGACAGCTTGTGACACGCTCCTAGCATTGTTTACCATAGTACTTTGAATATTTCGGTGTGAAATCGCACGTAAATATGACTTAAATACAACATTGGCACTATTTAATTTTCATTATGATTTTCCTAATTGGAATTTACATAGAATACTCATCTAAAATGACATTATTAGGGAGAAAGTCCGAATGTGAGGATATAAAATCAACTTCACCTCAACTTCATCCACCTGTCGCTGAAAGCCGTTGACCGAAACTATCATATTTACACAGCGATACCAGTATTTTAACGGGTGTTTTACCTGCAGGCTCTGTCAGGCTGTATCCCCGCTTCTCTGCACCATTTGATCGCGTTTCATCACAACTGCTGCTGTATTTTAACACCAAAAACTGAATCCCCTGAACAAAACTCCGTGTGGTTTCTGGCAAACTGAAACCGCTCTGTTTGACCGACTCTCAGGGCTGGTGATGAGCGAGAAGGGGCGGGGTCATTGAGGGGGGCGGGGTTATGGAAGGGGCGGGCGATAGACACTCATTAAAAGTGATTAGGTAAGTGATGAGTGTTCATTATTTATTTAACGTAAAGATGGAGTTTAGAATATAACGCTGAATGCTCTATTAAAGGTTTCTAAGGAAAAAAGTCAAGAAGTGATCCTTAAATGTTTGTGTCTGAACCAGGGTTGCCAGATTTTCACTCCAACGGCAGTCAGAAATAGTCCAAAACTGGAATAATGCCAAATAATACCTTTGAAGGACAAAAGCTGTAAATAAATAAATTAATAAAGATAGATAGATAGATAGATAGATAGATAGATAGATAGATAGATAGATAGATAGATAGATAGATAGATAGATAGATAGATAGATAGATAGATAGATAGATAGATAGATAGATAGACAAACAGGCAGGCAGGTAGAAAGACAGTCAGACAGAAAGAAAGATACAAATAGATAAATAAACAATATAATTTATTAGACTCAATAACACAAATATATTCATTTTTATTCATTTTAAACCTAAAATATTGTTCTTTTTTCTTTAATTTATCATTTTTCATTTATATTTTTGTTTCCGTTCAACTTTTCTGTTTTATACATTTATTTTTCCAGTTATTTTATTTACTTTCTAAACCACACTTATTTATTTCCATGTTTATTTCTGTGTCTATTTCTGCATTCATTTATTTGTGCACTGAAGCAAACATAAATGAATATGTAAATAAATAAATATAAAATAAACAAATAATTATATATATAAATGGAGAATAAAATAATAAATAAAAATATAACCAAAGAAAACTACATAAAGGAAATTAGTTCATACAAGATTACATTAAATTGAAATACAGTACATTTGGTTACTTCATTGATTTGTCTATTGTTACATTTATTATCATTTTTTAATGCACACACACAGGTATATTATTATAAATATGATTAATAAAGGGTGTCACGGGGGTGCAGTGGGTAGCATGATCACCTCACACCAAGAAGGTTGCTGGTTCGAGTCCCAGCTGGGTCAGTTGGCTTTTCTGTGTGGAGTTTGCATGTTCTCCCTGTGTTCTGTGGGTTTCCTCCGGGTGCCCCGGTTTCCCCCAGTCCAAACACATGCGCTATGAGTGAATAAAATACGGTTTAGTGTACAAGTGTGTGTGATTGTGGGGGTGTATGGGTGTTTCCCAGTACTGGGTTGCGGTCGGAAGGGCATCCGCCGCATAAAAAAAAGAGAATAATCTCAGACTGGTTTCTTGAACATGACAATCAGTTCACTGTACTCAAATGGCCTCCACAGTAGCAAGAACTCAATCCAATAGAGCAGCTTTGGGATGTGGTGGAACGGGAGATTGGCATCATGGATGTGCAGCCGACAAATCTGCAGCGACTGCGTGATGCTATCATGCCAATGTGGAGCAAAATCTCTGAGGAATATTTCCAGTACCTTGTTGAATCTCTGCCATGAAGGATTAAGGCAGTTCTGAAGGCAAAAGAGGGTCCAACCCGGTAATAGTAGGTGTACCTAATAAAGTGGCCGGTGAGTGTTTTTTTTTTTTTTTTATTCCTTTACAAATTCATATCTTTTTTTTGTACTCTGAATTATGATGGAAACATTATTTCTTCTTGCATATTATTTCCTTAAACTTATTTAAACAATACACTAAACACTTATGCTTTAAATACATTTGATTTGATCAATTTTTTTGGCCTCAAAACCTCAAATCTGTATTACACTCTCAAAAACATATTCAAAGAAACTCAAACGGGATTCAATTTTGTAATCATATAGATTTTATTTTCAATACAGCAAAATACAAAGATGATTCGCAACAGACTGAGAAAATCCATTAGTAATACTCACTTCACCAAAAAAGAAAAGAAAGAAAACAAACAAAAAAACAAAACAAAAGTCTTTAAGTTATTACAAGTTTGGATAATCAAGACTCATAAGAGTATGTTTAAATCATATTGCATCCATATACGAATATATATATATATATATATATATATATATATATATATATATATATATATATATATATATATATATGTGTAGATTTCATTTAGTCAATCTCATCTCAATACTTTTGAAAACTAAACCGATCTCATACTGCTTGCCAATGATTGTTTTGCGTTCACTAGAAAATGAGTACTACACACAGACACCTACAAGTCCCTCTGTCGTGATCATTTCATTTCGAGCCAATCAAAGCGTCTCCTGGAGGACAGAGAAAGCACGGGGAATTACGAACGTACAGTGTTCTGTTGAAAACCAAAAGATCCTCAGTAACGAAAGTGTGCATTTAATATATTCACATTCTATATACAATTAATACAAATGTTAAATCGTTGTAAAAATTTACCCTAAAAGAGATTTTCATATGTACATCTGTACAGTTTAGTATTTAAATAGAAACATGCGAGTGTTATTTGATCAGAAAGGTAAATGGAGAAAATTAAAGATGGATTTCCAATCGACTCGAACTCGAAAACAAACAAAAATGGTGAAAACTGAAACGAAAGCACATCAAGAAGCAACAAAAGGCCATTGGAATATCATTTTAACAACTCAATTTTTCATATGCAGTTGCTTTATGATCAATATAGTTATTAGTGTGAATTAATTAGCATAATTAAAGAGTTGGTTCATCCCAATTAGTACTTAATGTACTGTATTTAATGTAATGTTTATTTTCTCGCCCTCGGGTCATTCAAAATGACTTTCGGCACATGAGATACTTTTAGAGTCCAATAATAACACATACAGGCAACACGAAATGAATACATGCGGCTTCTAATGATAATAAAATGAACATTATTTATGAACGTTATCCAAACTGTTGTGTGTTTCTGAGTGCGAGTGGGAAATTTCTGTGGGGAAACTACTTTTTAATTTACAAACAGACAGGAAAATGTGTGGTTTTGTTCATGGACATGATATCTGTGCTTATAATGAATGCTGAAACCCATTATAAGAGTGAGATTAAGTCCCGGTGCACCATTGGAGTACGTAGATTTGATTTTTAAGGTTTTGACAAGACTTAAAGGTAATGATGCTGTAAATAGTGTTCAGTTTCTCTTCATTAAAGGGGTAGTTCAGCCCAAAACGAAAATGCATTTATTTACTTGCATTCAATTGCTTCTAAACTTCTTTCTTCAGGTGAACACAAAAGAAGATATTCGGAAGAATGTTGAGAGAAAAATGCAGCCTATGCTATTCATGGTTGGAACTTTTTACAGCACTCTTCAGTATGTCTTCCTTTGTGTTCAGCAGAAGAAGCTCAAACAGGTTTTAAACAAGTGGAGAACGAGGAAATGATGGAAACGTTCATTTTCTTGTGTGAACTCTCCCTTTAATTGTGTTTTGCTGTTTGTGTTTTTGACTCAAAACATCACAAACTTGCATTATATGAAACACCATTGACAATAGTTTGACCTAAAAAAATCTCCTTGTAATTTTGGATGGCCGGAGGGCGAGTAAACTCACATGAACTTTTCATTTATGGGTGAACTCTCTCTTTAAAAAGAGAACACTCTGCTTTTTTAATGGAAAAACACTTGTTTTACAAGTCTCACAGAGTTAAATGAGTCAGTTTTAGCATTTTTGAATCCATTTAGCTGATGTCCGAGTCTGGCGGGAGCACTTTTAGCTTAGCTTAGCATAGATCATTGAATCGGATTGGACCATTAGCATCTTGCCCAAAAATGTCAAAAAACGAATAATTTTCTCATTTAACAGTGTTCTAAGACTGGCAAAAAATGAAAAGTCGCTATTTTCAGCCACTGGTAATGTCAATGCTCCTGCTGCAGCCATGGTACTTGCAGCAAAGTTCCTAGTTCCCATCCATATTGGCCTAGAAATAGAGTAACTTCTCATTTTCCATTGGTCTTAGCACACGATGTAACTCTAGAACAGTCCAGCTTTAAATATGAAAATTTATTGAATCTCTTTGGTCATTTTTTAGAGCGAGATGTTAATGGTCTAATCTGATTCAATGATCTATGCTAAGCTAAGCTAAAAAGTGCTTCTGCCAGACCCAAAGATCGGCTGAATGGATTTAAAAAATGATAAAACTAAACAGTTTAACTGTGGCTGAGATGGAAAACGAGTTTATTTCCACAAAAAGCACTTTTAGCTTAGCTTAGCATAGATCATTAAATCAGATTAGACCATTAGCATCTTGCTCATAACATTATATAAAAAAGAACAAAAAATAAGAGTTTTGATCATTTTCCTATTTAAATCTTCGACTCTTTTGTAGTTACAAACCGACAAAAAATGTAAAGTTTCTATTTTCAACCACTACATAATAAAAGCCATGGTACAGCAACAAAGTACCTAGTTCATATCCATATCGGTCTAGAAATATAGTAACCTCTTATATTCCATTGGTGTTAGTACATGATGTAACTGTAGAAGAGTTCAAGCCTTAAATAGAAAATGATCAAAACTCTGGTCATTTCTGAGATGCTAACGGTCTAATCCGATTTTAAGAACTATGCTATGCTAAGCTAAGTTAAAAGTGCTCCCGCCCCTGCCAAAGATTGGCTGAATGTATTCAAAAATGATAAACTCAACAGTTTAAGTGTTGTTGAGATGGAAAATGAGTTTATCTTTAAACAAAATGCACTTTTAGCTTAGCATAGATCATTGAATCAGATTAGACCATTAGCATCTCGCTCAAAACATAAAAAAGAGAGTTTTGATCATTTTCCTATTTAAATCTAGACTCTTCTGTAGCTACAGACCGACGGAAAATACAATGTAACGATGTAACTCCAGAAGATGCTAACGGTCTAATCAGATTCAATAATCTATGCTAAGCTAAACTAAAAGTGCTCTTGCCAAACCCAAAGATCAGCTGATTGGATTAAAAAAAATATAAAAATCAGTTTAAGTGTTGTTATGATGGAAAATGAGTTTATTTCCACACAAAAAGCACTTTTAACTTAGCTTAGCATAGATCATTAAATCAGATTAGACCATTAGCATCTCGCTCAAAACATAAAAAAGAGAGTTTTGATCATTTTCCTATTTAAATCTAGACTCTTCTGTAGCTACAGACCGACGGAAAATGCAATGTAATGATGTAACTCCAGAAGATGCTAACGGTCTAATCCGATTCAATGATCTATGCTAAGCTAAGCTAAAAGTGCCCCCGCCAGACCCAAAGATCGGCTGAATGGATTCAAAAATGATAAAACTCAACAGCTTAACTGTTGTTGAGATCTAAAACGAGTTTATTTCCACAAAAAAAAGTGCAGTGTTCCTTTAAGAAACCTCACTCCTATTACAGAATGTTTCTTGACCAATCAAATCTCAAACATTTAATCTGCAAAACAAAGGTCCGATTAATAGTCAAATACTGCGATTCCCATCGACAGGACACCTTGTTTTCAAATGATTACACCGATTAACAAACAAAACAAAAAAAAAGCCAATCAGAGAAAAGACTCTAGTGCAAGAGACGATATGTTTCCAGCATTTCATACACCATGGAGCGCAATCAACTCCGCCCATGGTTTTGGATCAGATCTACACCTTGCGTATGGACACGAGCCGGTCTGCTCTAAAACGACTGCAATATGTACACACATAGACTGCTATTTGCGACAGAGCACATCATAAATACATCCTTACATGACTGGTTTCCTTTTAAAAAGAACTGCAACACACGGGGGCGACTATGACACTAGAAAAGGCAACCTCAAGACTCACATTAAATATTTAAATATGATATTTTCATATACAATAGAAATACGTCTCTCTCATCTCGTATTGCAACCCTGTATCCATGCCGAAAAAATGCGGAAAACTTGGATTTATGCGTTTATATCTAAATAAAAATCTACATCTGGCCGAGCGCGTCAGCCGCGGTAATAAAATACTCCTGCGCTTTTAATACCAGAAGAAAAAGTGACACCGATGCGAGCGCTACATTTCCTTTAGAAAAGAATGAGAATAAAATAAAATCGTGGCCTGGGTGTTTGCGGTAGTGACGAATACAGATATATGGCCAAAAGCGAACACGGTAATGCCTTGATATGGTGCCGAACAGTCTTTTGGTCTGACCAAACAAACAAACAAACAAAAAACAAGCCTCAGATGTTCGTTTTTCAAGCCTTTGGCGATCCACACCCACACTTAAACCTTCCTCGATGTGTACTTCAAGATATTGTGTCTCTTAGTTTCCTGTATATCAAATACAAGGCACAATAAAACTGATAAAAAGGAGAGAAAACCTCAATTTTAAAGCACCTTTGGTAAAAGGGAGGTACTTTGGTTAAAAGAAAAGCGCCATAAACATCCAATTATTATCCTTGTTTGCTTACAGCCAGCAAAAAGAAGTCAAAAGTACGAAACAAGGCTTCTTACACCAAAACAAACAAGCCGATGATATGATCAGGACGCAGTGTGTGGATGTGTGGTTGAGTAAGCCGCCTCCCCTTTCTTGAATATTCACGAGCGGAGCAGAGAGGGGCGCGGGGGAAGGGCCGGGGCTCTGAGTGTTTTGTATTTTTGGCAAGCTGGTGTAGAAATGAGCACAGTGTCACAGATGTCTGAGGCAGGTCGAGTGTGTGTGTGTGTGTGTGAGTGTTTTGCGTAGGCATAGAAGAAGGGGCTACAGGTTAAAGCGCTCTACTGGATGAGCTTGGCGTCCAGTCGTAGCCAGTGCAGGCCCTGCCGCGTGAACCGCACCAGGTCAGTCATGCTGCTGGTGTTGAAGATCAGCGGACCCATCGCCTTGTCCAGCTCAGTGAAGAACTCTGTGGGGAAAACAGAAGATTGAGGACGAGATTAAATAAAATAGCACAACAACTAAAGTCCCTAGTATACCTAAAGCTAAAAAATTTAAAAAATAAAATAACTGAAACCGAGACATTTCACACAAAATCTGGCCAAAAGAATTCATTTCTGCATTTAGTAAACAGCTACACAAACTGTTTGGGGGACTTTGTTTTGGTTGTAAACAACTTTAAGCTACTATTGGTCCATGATGATTGCTGAATGTATTCTAAGCTTAGGAAATAGCACAACAGCTAATCCTTGTGACATGTTCGGGAAGGGATTAATAACTGCAGAGAAAACAAATATATATATATATCTGCAAATGCTTTGCTAACATTTTATACAAACAATTACCTATATTATAAGTACATGTTTTAAGGCTGGTTTATGCTTCTGCGTCAAGCGATTGGTGTGACCCATGGAGCATGCCTTGCGTGCAGTTGTGCATTTATACTTCTGCATGCTGGTTTTGTTGCTTTGCAATAACACTTCCGCAAAGCTAGCTGGCAGTAGGTTATGTCCTGTTACTCTGTGTTGAGTTTCTTCACGGGTGTTTTGTTGTTTTCTGAACACTACTTTAATGTATAAATAGCTAAAACTCGCTCATTCAGAGGCGGAAACCGGCGAACATGCAACAACTATAATCATAAGATAAACAAAACATCTAGAGCTCCTTTACGGGACTCGACACTTGTAAACACTTGCTCCATCTGGCTCCAAACTTTCACAGTATATCACTATAATATTTTTTCTTCTAGAGAAAGTCTGATTTGTTTTATTTCGGCAAGAATAAAAGCAGTTCTAAATTTTTACAATACTTTTTTAGCTCAATATTATTAGCCCCTTTAAGCTATATTTGTTTTCGATTGTCTACAAAACAAACCATTGTTATACAGTGACTTGTCTAATTACCCTAACTTGCCTAATTACCCTAGTTAAGCCTTTAAATGTCACTTTAAGCTGAATACTAGTATCTTAAAATATATTTAGTCAAATATTATGTTCGGTCATCACGGCAGATAAAATAAATCAGTTATTAGAAATTAGTTATATACATTGTGCTAATTTTGCAGCAGGGCTAATAATTCTGACTTCAACTGTATTATACATATATATATATATTAGGGGTGTCAAAATGAATCGTTTCTTCTGTGCACCGCAATGCAGACGCGGACAATTCAGTATCGGTTAAGTAATAATCATAACCGGTTATTACTGACGTCATTTATCCCATATGAGCTTTGTCGCGAGGAAGGCGAGCGCGAGTATTTACAACGCTCTAACTACTTAAAACTCATAAACTGTGCACAAGTTCACGGTGTGTGTTTGCTGGATCAGTCTTTCACTGAAATATACAGTAAAAGCCCCTATTTCACTGCGACTGAGATAATGAAAGTATATATTTATATTATTTGCTAAATGCTTGTGTTGTTTAAAGGTACAGTTTATATATCTGACTGTTTGTATTAAATGACAAAATTGTATTACAAATAATATATAAATATATTCATATATTTTAATACAAAAACTGCTGCGTCAATGCACCGAGATATATAATTGAACCGAATCGATGGCATGATAATCGTAACCGAACCGACCCTTGAGACTAGTGTAGGTTCACAGCCCTAATATATATATATATATATATATATATATATATATATATATATATATATATATATATATATATATATATATATATAGAGAGAGAGAGAGAGAGAGAGAGAGAGAGAGAGAGAGAGAGAGAGAATAAATGTTTTATTTGCATTTCCAACACCAAACCATCAGTATATAAATGTGTATAATCAGCTATTCAGGATCGGTGCACCTATAAAATTTCTTGCAACTTAAGGGAATTAATGCATGATGTGAGGTTATAAAAAAGCAGATTAAAAAAGCAGTCAGGAAAAGCGTGTGGAAGCACGTCCAGAGTATGCTTTGGGGACTGATGTACCTCTCTGCTCTTTGGCGAGCTGCTCAGCCTGGTCCCACACCTCGGTGGCGTACAGGAAGTTGGAGGTGACTTGCACGTAGCTTGCCGCCATCTGGTGGATGCGCTGCGGGATGGTGACGGAGGAGCTGGCGCTTTGGCTGGAGCTGCTGGAGGAGTAGCTGCCCGCACTGCCAGGAGAGAGTTTGGGGGAGACCGGAGACGGCATCCCTGCGCTTTTACTGCACGACACAGAGCACTCAGAGTCAGGCAGATATGCAGGAACAACTTCAGCACCATCAGTTTCATTTTGCAATATTATATTCAGGGTAATATCGCTGTAATAACACTTTCAATTAAAGCGTTTTCAAGCACCTCTGTTTGTTTTAAAGTTCTTTCGAGGCCTTCAAATCATATGCCTGAAATTTAAGTACTTCAAAAAGTGTGAGAACCCTGTATATTGCTATTGCTTCTTGACAATCATAATCAATGCAAATCTGCACATCCATGGTTACATACTGCCCCGAGCAGCACATCTTAATGAGGTTTGAAGGAACAACCTTTTGTTTTTTGGAAATAGGCTCATTTGCAACTCACTTAAAGCTGATCTTCAGGTCTGGCAGGAGCATTTTTAGCTTAGCTTAGCATAGATCATTGAATCGGATTAGACCATTAGCATCTCGCTCAAAACCGAAAAAAGTGTTTCAATAATTTTCCTAATTAAAGCTGGATGCTTGTGCAATGATATTATGCAGTTTACAGCACCAAGCCCAACACCTGCATTACTATTGAAAATCTGCATAATATTATTGCAGCCATGGTACGGCAGCAAAGTTTTTTGATTATTACGCCAGGATGAGAGTATAGCTCCTAGGCATATCAGCCTAGAAAATAGCAACTTCACATTTTCAGTCAGTCTTAGTACAAAATTATACTACAGAAGAGTCAGATTGTTTTGGAGTGAGATGCTAATGGTCTAATCTGATTCAATGATCTATATTAAGCTAAGCTAAAAGTACTCCTGCTAGATAAAGAGAATGATGGATTTAAACATGTGGAAAACTTAACTGTATAACATTAGGCGAGTTGTAAAATGAGGAAAAAGGTGTAGCTTTCCTTTAACAACATCTAAAACACACAAAGCAATGCAGAGAACTTACTTTGCTACTCCAGGAGACGGAGCTTGGGTATTACTCAATGAATTCTGGGAGGGGAAAAAAGAAGATCATTTTCACTTGGAAAATCTCATTTTAAAAATCACATTTCTCCTTTGACAAACATAAACAAAAGTTAAACAAAAGTTATATATATATATATACACACACACACACACACACCCACACAAACACACACACACACATACACACACATATTACACTCACTGGCCACTTTATTAGATTAGCTGAGAACAGGAAACTAAGGCTACAATTCACAAAGGCTCACCAAAATTGGATAATAGAAGATCAGAGAAATGTTGCTGCTCTGATGAGTCTCCATTTCTGCTGCCACATTTGGATGGTCAGGTCAGAATTTGCCATCAACAACATTAAAGGATGGATCCATACTGCATTGTATCAACAGTTCAGGCTGGTGGTGGTGTAATGGTGTGGGGGAGATTTTTTTTGGCACACTTTGGGCCCATTAGTACCCACTGAACATGGTGTCTACGCCACAGCCTACCCGAGTACTGTTACTGACCATGTCCATGCCTTTATGACCACAGTGTACTCATCTTTTGATGGCTACTTCAAGCAGGATAACAGACCATGCCACAAAGCCCGAAACATTTCAGACTGGTTTCTTGAACATGACGATGAGTTCACTGTACTCAAATGGCCTCCACAGTCACCAGATCTCAATTCAAAAAGAGCACCTTTGGATTGTGGTGGAATGGGAGATTCACATCATGGATGTGCAGCCGAAAAATCTGCAGCAGCTGTGTGATGCTGTCATGTCAACATCGAGCAAAATCTCTAAGGAATATTTCCTGTAGCTTGCTGAATCTATGCCATGAAGGATTAAGGCAGTTCTGAAGGCAAAAGGGGGTCCAACCTGGTACTAGTAAGGTGTACCTAATAAAGTGGCCGGAGTGTATTTTTTTTATAATAGACTTCTTAGAAATAGACTACAGTTAAAAAAAAGTCTGGGTCAGTAAGATCTTTCTTATTTAAGAAAAAAACCAAGAGACTTTCAAGTCAAATAATTGTTGTTTTCTTGTTATTTGTAATAATCATGATAGTTTTTTTTCTTTGAATATTTCCAAAGACATTGAGAAAGAAAAAACTGTGATAAGTAGTAAACCCTAACCATCAGAATATAATCTTTAAAACGGATTTCCTTTTCTAATGCAATAGAAAAACACATTGTGAATCATTACACTAATAAAAAAAAAAGTCATTGTAATTAAAAAAAACATTTTACATGGAAAAAAAAGTTTTAAATAATCTTACAGACCCCAAACCTTTAAATAGTGGCAGACACTAATAGTTACAGCACCCTATTATAATCATTTTAAAAGCAAAATAATGTTACCTTCAAGTGTTCAGTGAGTGTTTTAGAGTATTTCAGTGCACTTTCTTTCCGCAGCTTGAAAAGCCTCAAATACAGGAGCGCTTGACATCGAAGACTGCAGAGACAGAGATTATAACATCAGTTTTAACAAAACCCTGCACACACATCGGGTAACAGCTTCATCTCCATTTACTTCATTGCTCAAATTAGAATCAAATATCAAACATTCATGAAATATCTTTAAAGGCATGAATGATGATGACTGAGCAAAACATTTCAATGATCTCCTGCATAGCGTTTCATCTCCCTGAGAAACTCTGCATAACTTCGCAAGACTTATGCATTCCTCGTAACAAAACCGATGTAAATAATGAGGCGGGAGGATGAAATACATGACATTTTTCTTCTTTCTTGTGGGAAAAGCAATACTTCTGCGAGCGAATGTAGAGTATCCAGAGTGAAACGCAACTCTTCAGCGAGCGAGCCTTAAATTCTCTTGGTGAACATATTACCGTAATCAATCTTAACGTTTTCTTTTGTTGTTGTTGTGGTGAACGGCAATGCTATTGCAAAAATGAACGTCAAGTTTCCCAGAAAATGCTTTCTTTTCTGAGAAAACAATCTGTGTGAGAGGAATGCAGTATTTCAGTGAGAGAATACAGCACTTCTTTAATGCATATTTGTCATTTTTTACAATTCCCGTCCTCTTGAGGGCGCTGTTTTGTTTTGTTAAAAGGGGGTGAGTCATGTTCGAAGAGTTAATGGCTGTTAGTGAAGTATTAGGTAACGTTTCAATACTGTATACTTTACAATAATGTTCCTAATATTATTAACGAATGCTTTGTTAATGACAAATCATGTCAGTAAAGGGTTAACAAGCTGATGTTTCGATGTAATGCACATCAATTCTGTCCTCCTTTGTCCCTGACGTAAATCAGGAACTATGAACTTATAAGCTCTAGCAATTAGTATACGAGTGGGTAACATGAACAAAGGTTTGTGTAGTTCTGAACCTGATTTACCTGATGCTGTTAACTAACATTGTAAGTTATGAACAAGGATTCAGTTTTGCTGAATAAATGTGTTGTTTATTACTAGGTCAAGTTATACACTAACATATTTGTTAATAGATTATATGAGTAAGTAAACATTACCTAATTAAGCTGTTCATGTAAAGAGATATAAATATAATATAAAAATATATAACATTAAGTTACAAGCAAATGGCAAATGGTTATAATATAAAATAAAATATAAAAAAACAAAATAGAACAAAAATAATTAAAATATAAAATAAAATTAAATATAAAATGAAACATAAAAATATTAAATAAAGTATAATAATATACATAAATATCAAGATAAATATAATATAAAATAAAATTATTTAAAACTAATAATACCAAAATAAAATTATAAAAAATTAATATATAAATAAATAAATTGAAAAAAATAAATATAAAACAAAAAATTTAATATAAAAATATATAAAATATTACACAATATAATACATAAATATAAATATAAAGAAAAATATAATATAAAATGTATTATATAAAATTACAAACAAAAATTTATAATATAAAATTAAATAAAAAACAACAAGTATAAAAATAAACGAATATAAAAAACTAAATATAAAATATAATAAAATACATAAATATAAAATAAAAAAAATTATAAAACAAAATAACAAATATTATATAATGTAAAATAAAAAATAAAATAAAAAAATACATAAAACATAAAATAAAATACACATAAAACAAAATAAATACATTTATTAAATTAAATCTAAAATAAAAAATAACATAAAATATAAAAAATATTAAATATTACATAATATAAAATACATAAACACAAATGTAAAGATAAATATAATATAAAAATATTTAATATAAAATTAAAAACAACAACAACATTTTTAAAAAGTATATAATAATTAATAAAATAGAAAAAAAATATATAAACTATAGAAAAATAAAATGAATAAATAAATAAATTTATTTAAGAACCCTTCTCAGTACAATACACACAAGTAGCAGGAAAATGCTGCATGTGCTCAATAAATGCAGCCCCAACATTGACAACAACACAAAAACACTTCGCTGGACACTCAGCATTAGGGCAAAAGCTAGTCCTGTTGTAAATCATAACACTGTTGACCTAAAGTGTAAAGTGTAAAGTTTCTGCTTCATACCATAGCACTGCTAGCCTTTTGTCTTGAGAAGTTGCATCTGGTGCCATGTAGCTCTTTAGCTTCATAGTGTACCTAAAAAAAAACACACACACACACACACATCTGTGAGCAAACTCTACTGAAGCAGCATACAGAAAATGCATTTCAGCTACTCTGAAGTCTTACTTGATGAGCTCCACGGTTTCTGCATACATGGGAAAGGGGGATTTGGCCTCCTGGGCGTTTTTCTCCAGGGCATTTCCACACTCGATGAAAGACACCACGGCGTCCAGGTAATACACCGCCTTCTCAAATCTGTCCATCTGCAGAAAACACCACAAAAAAGATCAATTTCAATAGCAAACATGTAATAAATTATGTTTTTTGACATACATGAGGATTCAAAACAAGACTGGAAAACGATCAAATGTGACCCCCAAAACTAGTTTTAAGTGGCTGTTTTAAATAAATTAATTAATTATTTTAAATAAATAAATATGTGAATGGAATGAACTCATTTTTTTTATTGTTGTTTGGTTTGATGGGACAAAATTTAGTTGAGATACAACATATTATGAGGAATCTGAGGGTTAAAAAAATAAAAATTTAAATATTGAGAAAATGCTCACATATTTATAATATTTTTCTACTTTTGCAAGATACTTGCATTCAGATTAAAATGCAATAACTAGGTTATTATGTTAACTAGGCAGAGATCATTATTTGGCAACTTATTAGAAATCCACACAATCTAAAAAATACATATTTCTTAATATACATTAATGAATTTTTATAATATATTAATTTATAATATTAAATAATAATATTGACCTTAAAATAAGAATAAACTAGAGAATAAAATAAATTAAGAATAAAAACTTTTATTATTATAAATATAATAATTTAATAATTATTTTTTAAATTTCTTAATAATAAAAATATTGACCTTAAAATAAAACTATACTTTTATTCCAAGACTAAAAGAAACAAAACTTGCACAACAAATAACAAATATTAAAGAAAAAACAGAGTATATATGTATATGAATATATACATTTCTTAATAAAATAATCAAAAAGTTTTTATTGAATAATATATTAATAAATATACATTTGAGGTCAGAATTATTATATGTAATATATAATAATTTAATGATTATTTCTTAATAATACATTAAGAATAAATAATACTTATAATTATAAAAATACGTATTTAATAATTATTGCTTAATTTCTTAATAATAATAATGATAATAATATTTACCTTAAAAAGGTTTTAATTTTTTATTATTAATTATTATATATTAATTTAATGATTTTTTCTTAATAACACATTAAGAATAAACATATTACTTATAATTATAAAATATGTATTTAATAATTATTGCTTAAATTTTTAACAATAATACAAATAATATTAACCTTAAAAAGTTATTATTAAATAATGATTATTTAATTATTTAATTATTTAATTTAATGATTATTTTTAATAATACATTAAGAATATATTATAAATATAAAAATACTTATTTAATAATTATTGCTTATTTTTTTATTCTTAATAATATTGACCTTAAAAATGTTTTAAAATAATATTATTCATAAATATATAAATTTTAGTGACTATTTCTTAATTTCTCAATAAATTACTCAAAATATTTAATTATTTACCACAAAAAAGAAAAACAGAGGTCTGTGCCATGAGTTTTAATCAGTATATTATTACACATGATGAGTCCGGTGGAGGACAAACACAAAAGTTCAGGGGTCACAGAAAATATCATGCAGATTATTTTACATGGACGTCAAGAACTGTAAGCAGGGTAAACAGACCCTCACCAGAGCATCCGCATTGTGTTTCAACTTCTTGGCTTCTTGAAGGTAATGATCAGCCGAATGAACCCTGGAATTCAGAAATGGGATTGTTTTTTACTCTCACGCATTCATTTACTCAGGAGCAATGCATTAAAACAGCAGTGAGTGGGGGAAAATGTACAATCAAACAATTCTAATAAAACAGTGCATGTGCAATTTCTTTGTAAAAAGAGTAAAAGTATTTTTTAAATTGTTTTATTTTATTTATTTTAAATTAAAATAATAAAAAATGTGTTATTTTGAAGCGTATAAAAAATATAATTTAAAATTTAAACAACATTAAATGTAATATAACAAAATAAAAAAAACAGTATAATAAAAAATAATATGGTGAAAAAAATCTTAATATAAAATAAATAAATTTTAAATTAATAAAAAAATGTATATAATATAAAACAACAATATTCTAACAATTTAAAAAATGATATAGTATAAAAATATATTTAAAAAATTATAAAATAAAAATTAGAAAAAATTTTATATAAAAAATTATAACACAAAAAATATATAATAAAAGTGTATAAAAACATAATATAAAAAATAAATAATAATATAAAATATAATAAAAAATACAAAAATAAATTTATTTAAAATTAGTTAAAAATAAATATAATATAAAAGAAAAAATACTAAAAACAAAAAGAAAAAATTATATAAAACAAAATATTACAACAAAATAAAAAATAATATAATTTAAAATGTAAAAAATATAATAAAAATATCATATAAAAATATATTAAGCAAAAATTATAATAAAAAATAGAAAAGAAAAAATACTAATATAAAAATAAGTATAATAAAATAAATACAATATAAACTATATAAATAATATAACAAATTAAAAACATTAAAAATATATATATATATTTAATAAATATTAAATATAATAAAATATATGATATAAAAATATATAAAACAAAATATAAAATAATAAAATAAATTGATAAATGTATTTATAATATCTTGTCACTAGAATACACAAACAGCATTGAAACATGACAGAACTGATCACAGTGTAAAATGAGAAATAGAACTTTACAGTGTTATTATTTTCATGTTATTTCATGCTGGTATGTTTCTGTGTGTGATATTTTATTACCTTATTTGTAAACTTATTTAGTGTATAATTATGTTTTCCTGATAATTTCTTGTTTGGTGAATTGTATCAGTGCGTGATTTTAATGCCATGTTTTAATGCATATCTACATGCATCAATATGACTTATATAGTGTTTACAGTGTTACTTTCTATCTGATCTAAGAAAGAATCTGAACCCAATAAGCAAAAACATAACAATACATAAACTTTACACATTTAAAACACCAAAGCCTCCATACCTGTCCTCAAACAGAAGTTTAGATCTAGATTTGGAGCCCTCAGAGAGCGGCGGCACTGAAACGGGATTCTCTGATTTGGAGCTTTTCTCCTGTGGGGAAAAAACCAAAAAAATTAAAATGAGAAACCACATAAGTCACCTGGACCTTTAAGCAATTATTAATGTGATATGCATACAAATAGGTGGATGAAAGCATAGCTGGTGTGTGTGTGTAAATCAGACCTTGGGCTCTCTGCGCTGGGGTTTGTCGTCTCCTCTGCGGTGTCTGGAGCTGGAGCTGCTCTTGTCTTTGCTGGGGACGGTGCTGGAGGACTGGCTGAGGGTCCGCTTGCGCCCCTGCTGCTCAGATTTGGGCGTCCGCTGCAGTGTGATGGAGGGAGACGGCGCAGACTCCTTCTCTTTTTCCTGAGCACGCTTGGAAGAACTATGGAGAAGATTTCAGATGAAGAGGTATTACACACTGAATCTGAAATACTCGTCTGGTATTTTCGCACGTTAACCCTCATGTGCTTTTGGGTCATTTGTATCCACTCCGGGGTGATTTTGAGTTGAGGCCTAAACTTTCTCTGTGTTTAAGCAAATGGAATGACTTTTGGTGACTAATCTAATTTTGACACATTGTTACACTCCTTTATTTAATAAAAATAAATATAACATAAAACAAAAATATTGTAACAAATTAAAAAAAGATATAATATAAAAATATATTTTAAAAATATAATAAAATAAAAATGCTAAATTAAGTATAAAAAAATTATATTAAAAATGTATAATATTAACTATTATATTATATATTAAAATATATAAAATATAATATACAAAAAATACTAGATAATATAAAATATAATATAAAAAAAACTAAAAATATATATAAATGTCTAAATTAATTTAAAATTAATTAAAAATAAATATATAAAAGAAAAAACTTTAAAATTGGAAAGAACTATGGCGAAGATTTCAGATGAAGAGGTATTACACACTGAATCTGAAATACTCGTCTGGTATTTTCGCACGTTAACCCTCATGTGCTTTTGGGTCATTTGTATCCACTCCGGGGTGATTTTGAGTTAATTTGGCCTCGATTTACTCTGCGTTTCAGCAAATGGAATGACTTTTGGTGACTAATCTAATTTTGACACATTGTTACGCTCCTTCATTTAATAAAAATAAATATAACATAAAACAAAAAATATTATAACAAATTAAAAAAAGATATAATATAAAAATATATTTTAAAAATATAATAAAATAAAAATGCAAAATTAAATATAAAAAATTATTTAAAAAAATTATAATAATATGTTATTATATTATATATTAAAATATATAAAAACATAATACAGAAAATACTAGACAATATAAAATATAATATAAAAAACTAAAAAATATATAAATAAATTTAAAATTAATTAAAAATAAATATATAAAAGAAAAAACTTTAAAATTGGAAAGAACTATGGCGAAGATTTCAGATGAAGAGGTATTACACACTGAATCTGAAATACTCGTCTGGTATTTTCGCACGTTAACCCTCATGTGCTTTTGGGTCATTTGTATCCACTCCGGGGTGATTTTGAGTTAATTTGGCCTCGATTTACTCTGCGTTTCAGCAAATGGAACGACTTTTGGTGACTAATCTAATTTTGACACATCGCTACGCTCCTGGAATTTTGCGTGTCTCTCTCTCTTTCTCTCTTGCGCACATGAGCACCTCTCTCTCTTTCGCCTTTACAGGTTCAACCCCCTTCGAATTGTTATTGGCTATAGGATCAGTCAATCACCATTATCTTTGGTGACGTGGCGGCTTCCGTGGCCAATCTGAGTGGTTGCCAAGGTATACAAAAACGACGAGTGGGACGCCAGACAGAGGCTTTTGCGTTCCTGTTTTGTTCTTTGTTTTAATCCGCCTCCCGTTATTTCTTTTTTTTGGTACTTAAAGGGCCATGAAACGTCTACACACACCTCTATCAATTTTAGCTACTGATATCTACCATGTAAAAGTGGAACAATGTTTCTTTCTTTGCTTTTTTAGTACAATACTTATTTTAAATGTGTCCCTTAGAAAACAACAATGCTTAAAAATATGTTACCAATGCAATTCGCATTGTTTACATCCTGCATTTCCATTTACTACCACATTTCAGATGGATCAAGTTAAAATCAATTGAATCTAAAAGGACATGTCGTGCATTTGTTTTGCTTTTACAGATCATCAACATGATTGTAATTAGGGTTGTAACAATATACCGGTATGACGGTTTACCACGATTTGAACGTGCACGATTATCATACCATGAACAATTGCATATCAACGGTTTTAACCCTTAAAGACCGAGACAGCCGCCTGCGGCTAAAAATAAGTATTGCTCTTAAATGTTTAATAACTTTTGATCCGCTGATCCGATTCATACAATTCAAAGATTGGCATAAAGAAGAGAATCTCAGCTTTCCAGTGCTGTATCACATAACATTCGCGCTCCTGAATCAGTGCGATTGCGTCATCAAAATTTGACAACGCTGATTTGACAAAGAAACGCTCGTCACTGTGTCTCCGGACAAACCAGACATGATACATTGATGCATTGTCCCTCCTCCATGCCCAGATTGGTTCAAACTCGCTATATCACAACCAATAAGCATAGGTTTCGCTTTTGTTTGTGGACCAACAATGAGCTTTTTGAACAACACGGAATGAGAGATAGGCATACATTTATGCGCGGCTAAATAAAACGCAAAAAAAAAAAAAAGTTTTGCATGAAATAATTCTCATACTAAGTACTTTTGCATGCACAGCAGCACAGAAACATGACAAAACAGTGACACAGCAAAGACGAACTGCTGCTCTTGCTGTTTTCAAAAGACACAAATGAAGGTGCAGCTGTTTATCTGCATTGCAGACAATCATATCCAAATCCATATCCACAGACAACCATATCCATGCTGGCACATAAAACCTAAGGATGTTCCATATTGAATCTAGTTTTGTTATGTAACTATTTATAGTATAGTAAATATTTATATCTATTTTTTACTGAGGATTTGCACCATGTTTATTTGGACTTTGACACATTATTTATTATTTTCTTATTTTTTTATTTGTTCATTGTAAAAGTGGACACATTCTCTCACCTCAGCGGTCAAGATTAAGTCCTGAAAATCTCAACATGCTTACATTTCTTCATCACAACCTAGACTGAAAAAAACAACGCTTTAAATACATGTTTACAGCCATAAACTTGGTATTGCACTTTTGGTCTCCCATTTATCGTGCTTATAAGGAAGGACAGTTTAAGTTTATTTTTGTCTAATCTTAAAAGACCCTGCTTGTTTATTCCTTCTAATTTCATTTATTAAAATGGGAGATTTTTCAGTTTATTTTTATAAAAGACTTCTATAGTTCTATTAAAATGGTTCTTTCAAAAGTTTGTTGAAATAAAACCTTTGTTCAGTCAGAAAACGTGTTCTTATTCTTTTCAGGGTCTTTGCTATGAGAATTACTATTTAATACCGTATACCGCGAAACCGTCAAACCGTGGTATTGTTTTAGACGATTATCATACTGTAAAAAATTCATACCGTTACAACCCTAATTGTAATATTTGCTTTGTGCTTTATAAAGAAACCTTGCAAGCAGCACGGTCAAGTAGCTTGTACCGTATAAACACTGTTACACACAAACCCGTTCCAGTACAAGTGAGCATGTGTTTTAATGAGGAGATTATCTTCATCTTAACTTCAATTACTGAAGGGATTAAAGCAGAACGTACTCATTACTGCTTGATTTGCGTGAAGACTTCTCATCCAGTTTGGACTTCTTACTCTCTGGTTTCACACCATCATCTTCATTCTGTGGACAAAAAAACTGGTTTGAAATAAAAAATATATACATAACCCTTTAAAAGAAAACTTTTATAAAGAAACTAATACTTTATTCAGCACAAATACGCACTTAAATGTTTGCTTTATTTAAAATAAAACAATTTGCGGAGTTTTTTTTAGGACAACTTAATTGTTTATGTTTAATTCACTTAAATTTGCACAAACTAATCAGTTAATCCCTTCATGTAGTTCACTCTCGCGTTCACACTCATTCACTATGGCCAATTTAATTAATTCAATTCCCCTATAGTGCATGTGTTTGGACTGTGGAGGAAACCGGAGCACCCGGAGGAAACCCACGCCAACACGGGGAGGACATGCAAACTCCATATAGAAATGCCAACTGACCCCGCCAGGAATTGAACCAGCGACCTTCTTGCTGTGAGGCCACAGTGCTAACCACCATGCCACCTAACATTCCAGTTTTGTGAATGTTTTTCATTTACTCTAATGCAAAAGTGTAAAAGGTACAGGATCTAACAGTTAATCGAATCTCATTGTGAATCAAATTGTTCAGAATTGACAAAAATCAATCTTGAATCGAAAACCTATGAATCTGAATCGATTCGCTGTCCACCCAAAGATTCACAGCCCTACTTAGGATATTAAGGCTAATATATAAATTCTTTTACAAGTGGATTAATCCTAAATTTGTAACCATCACAGAGAGATCGCCTCTAGCACCATTCAAATCACGTATGAAAGCATTTAGGCTTTCCTGTCAAATATAATGATGGCGGAAGTTGTGGTGGGTTAATTAGGATGAGGAGGGTTTCTTAGGTTACTAAAGGTGTTTACTGTCACTGCTCGTTTATCCTGCATTAATGCATTCAGTGTAAGCTGCACGATTAATTATTAAAAGATCAGGATCTCAACACCCACGCAACATTAAAGTATAAATAATGGTCATTTGCATACATTTATTAATCAAATCGCTGCATTCAAATCTGTGTTTAAAAAATGCAAAAATCAAGAGATTCTTTCATCTTTTGAGTTAGTTATGAAGTCACAAACAGTCATTTAACACAGAAATACTGGGAGAACAGTTATAATTTAGATAAAACCACTGAGGTTTATGATAAACATTAAAATCACCATAATATGAATTTAACTTGACGCTCAAATATGAAAGCTGTAGGCAGCAATAACATTATTTAACCAGTAGGTGGCAACAAACCGCCATAAAAATATGCCACTGAATAATTAAAAAATGATCATCTAGCAATAGCCCCTTTCACACAGTGATACCGGTAAATATCTGGAAAATTTCCGGAACGACTTTCCAGGTATATTCAAAAAAGCGCTGTTCACACAGGCGAGGACGTTACGGAATTTTTCCGTAAAAGAGCGTTCACACATCCATTCCAAAATACCGGTAATTCTGACATCATTCACCACAAATGAGCTTTAAACGGCTGCGCTTGTATTTGTAAACATTTGACTAAATTACAAACTCTGTGGATGATCAGTATTGAAAACAACTTCGATGAAAACATATGGAGGATCACTTTCGCATGTCGAGATGTTCATAATGTGTGTGTGCTGGCGCTCATAGACTGTTTCACAGGCACACGTAAAGCTTGAAGGTAAACAAACAGCTGCTTATCATAAGCATCTTATCGATGATTAATTACACGGTTGGCATTAAGAAGAACATATAAACGTGATCTGACTAACTTCTTGCAGCTAAATGCGTCTGTAAAAATATTCAAAGGCTTTTATTCTCATAAATCGCCCGGACGTAAACGCGTCTGACTGTTCTGATTGGCTAAAGCAGACGTCTTACGTCAGCACGTTCTAGACGTGCACGCGCTCTTTCCGGCAATCTTCCTTCTGCGTTCACACAGATTACCGCAAATTACCGGTAATGTTACAACTTCTCTTTCCGGAAAATAGCCAGAATGAATTTACCGGTATTTTCAAAAAGGGCCTGTTCACACATACAACCTTTCCGGAAAATTGCCGGTAATTTTCCGGGAAGGTCTTTATGTGTGAAAGGGGCTAATGAAGCGAAGTTTTATGAGTGAATACCTGAATAATTTATTTAAAATGAGAATAAAATACAAATGAGCTGTATAAATTAGGTAAGATTTCTACAAAAAGCATTATCAGCAACACTACTGAATATTTTACAGTTTATTTTTATTCAGCTGATTATTTCTTCATTTTATTGTATTTATTTATTTTTAAATGTTTTATTTATACATTGTTAAACGCATTACAAACATATACAAAAAGGACACATGTAACAACAAGCAAATACTCGAGCAAAAATAATAATAATAATAATTAATAAAATAAAAACACTAGTGCAATCTTATATACAAAAAAAAAAAAAAAAAAAACAAGTCTACAATGTGTTGACCAGATCTAGTTTCCAGTACCAAGTACCAAGTACAAGGTCTGTGCAGTAATTTTCTCTCATTTGAAAAAATAAAAAATAAAGAACATTTCTTCTCCAACAAGTGTGAGAAGGAGGGTGAGGGCTCTTCCTGTTCAGAAGAATTAATCGACTAGCAAGAAGGGTTAAGAAAATAAAGTCTACAAAATGAGAGGTTAACGTGTGGTCGGGCGGGAGAACCCCAAATAAACCAATAATTGGACACGATGGGATATCAACAGTGGTAATAGCTGGCAGCGAGAGGAATCATTTATTTTTAATAACATTACAGGTTCTAAGATTTGTTTGTTAAATGCAAAAGTGTCTTGCAGTGCTGTTCCTGTAATAAAAGCAAAGCAAATGACATTTGTCTACTCTTTTTGGCTGATCTGAAAAATGGTCCGATCTGTGACTTAAAACCATAATGTGATTCGAACCGTGAGATTTGTGATTCGTTACACCACTATTCCAGTTCTGCAAATAAGTCTAAATCACGTCTTTGGATGGAAACATATATAGTGCTATCGACCACTACAAATAAAAACCTGCCACCAACCTTGTGTTTCCTCTTCCTTCCTTCCTTGCTTATCTTTTCTCCGGGCTGCTTCTGGTTGCTTTTTCCCTCCGCTGGAGACCCTCGCTCCACCTTAACCTCCGTCTCATTGTAGAGCTGTCCCGGGACTCTAGTCAGCAGGCTGAGATTGATCTGCACCAGCAGTCTGGGCGGGTCATAAATGGGCGAGAGTGGCACCAACGGGTTTTCGCTGTAATCTTTCGGCGTCTGAGAAGGCAATGGGTCGCTTTCGTTGCCTTCAGAATCCGACGTCGACGAATCCGATTCGATGAACTCGCGAGACTTGCTGGGCACTTTTGCCGCTTTCGTCTTGCGCTTATCAGGCGGAGGTCGTGGAGAGGAGGTTTTGGGTTCTTTTTTAATGTTGGGTTTGCGCAGGCCTTTATTGGGAGCGCGAGCTCTGTGTGACGGGATTTCCGGCGATGGTTCGGTTTCTACTTTTAGTCCACCCTTGGGCTCTTCAACCACCGGCGGCTTCTCAGGTTTTTTGGGCTGTTTTTTGCCTACGACCCGTCGCCCGGATTGACTTGTGCCCTCGCTCTGAGCAGGAGATTTCTGACTGCGTCCTCGCCAGCTTTCGGAGCTCTTCTGATTGGGTCGCAACTCTCGGCCGGCTGACGTTGCAGCTTCTTTAGACCCCTGCCCACTGTAACTCCTGCTGGAGCTGGTATCTCGACCCTCCTTCTTATACTTGGTTCCCGGCGTGCTGCTGCTGCTGTTTTCCACCGGAGAAGCAGGAGACAGCTTGTTGACCTTATTTAACCAGTTGTCCAGAAGCCATTTGTTAGCCGTAGGCTGTTCCCGCTGTGATATGAAAGACAGCATAATTAGTATATTAAAATACATCGACTACAGCTACACTCAAAAAAATGATATGTTGGCTTTAAATAACTTTGTCAACAGGTTCCACGTAACCGAGTTAAGTTACCTTAAAGAAAGAATAGTTATTTGAGTGAATTAAGTTAGGTGGCCATTTTGAAGTCGGCCATCTTGGATCCAACTTTTGTTTTTTTTTTAATAGAAAGAGGGTCATGTGACATATCAAACTCATTAGGAATTTCGCAAGAAAAACAATGGCGAGCTTGACATTAACGTAACTTTATTCTTTCATGAGTTATTTACAAGTTTCTGACCAATTATTTAACCAGTTGTCCAGAAGCCATTTGTTAGCCGTAGGCTGTGTGTTAAAATACACCGACTAGAGCTACACTCAAAAAAATGATATGTTGAATTAAATAACTTTATGTCAACAGGTTCCACGTAACCAAGTTAAGTTACCTTAAAGAAATAATATTTATTTGAGTAAATTAAGTTAGTTACATAAAGGTAATGCAATGTTGTTTAGTTCAATCAACACAACATTAATAATTTAGCTTTAATTTATTTACACTGTTAAAAAATCCGTTAAATTTACGGAAAAATACCAGCAGCTGTTGTCAGGAATTTTCTGTAAAAATACGGAAGTTTTAAAGGACTGTTTAAATTTACAGAAAATAACTGTATTTCATCAACTGATACAATGCTCAGTTCACAAAAATCTAGTTTAGCTCACAAAAACAAAGTCATTCAATGTACTAATGTGTTCATGTTTGTATAATTAGCAAACATATTTTCACTGTAATAGTAACTACACAGCTACTTTAAAACAAAAGAAGACGCAGCAAAACATCAGCTATCCTTAGTTCATATTGGACTTGAACACAGATGCTACTATCCTCCACAGCACAATGTATGTTTTAGTTAGGGATGCACCGATAATGTTTGTTTTTGGAACGGATCTGATACCAAAATTCAGAGTATCGACCAATACAGATCCGATCCAGATACTGTGCCTTTTTTAAAAAAAATTTTTAATAATAGTTTCTATAGTTCTTGTGCTAAACTCAAATAATATATCTTCTTTAGTAAAAAAAAATACCTAAAGGCCTACTGTATATGACAATCTCACTGAAAACATGATGCCTGCTGTAATCTAAGCTACATTATTTGAGCATTCATTGCGTCATTGATATGATCTGTTGTGGTCCAGCTTATGTTTCCTTTTGTAATATTAAGATTTTTCTTGGAAATCTACAGAGTGGGCCATTTATATGGATACACCTTAATAAAATGGTAATGGTTGATGATATTAGTGTCCTGTTTGTGGCACATTAGCATATGTAAGGGGGCAAACTTTTCAAGATGGGTGGTGACCATGGTGGCCATTTTGAAGTCGGCCATCTTGGATCCAACTTTTGTTTTTTTTAATAGAAAGAGGGTCATGTGACACATCAAACCTATTGGGAATTTCACAAGGAAAACAACTGTGTGCTTAATTTTAACGTAACTTTATTCTTTCATGAGTTATTTACAAGTTTCTGACCACTTATAAAATGTGTTCAATGTGCCGCCCATTGTGTTGGATTGTCAATGCAACCCTCTTCTCCCACTCTTCACACACTGATAGCAACAACGCAGGAGAAATACCAGCACAGGCTTCCAGTATCCGTAGTTTCAGGTGCTACACATCTTGTATCTTCAGGCGCAGCGGCGGGAATAGCTGAAGTCAACATGAATTTGAGCACTTGAATATTCATCTGTGCTTCACATTGAACTATGGCTTCAGAACATTTGGGATATAATAGGCCTACATGACACCTTTCTAGTGCCTTATAATATGCTACCTTCATGGTTTTTGTTGGCTTATAAATTGCACAGAATATAGCGCATGCGCATAATCAAATTTGGATCGGTACCAGCTAATCCAATATCTGATCCAAGTATCAGGATCGGTGCATCCATAGGTTTACTATACTGCACATAAATAGCATAAGATGTGTATAAATTAGTGCAAGAATATTTTAAATGAGTATTAGTATACGATGTATTTACCTCGGGGGTCGCAGCTCGTGGCGGTTCGGTGGTCTCGCTGTCGGTGGAGCTGCTCTCGCTCTCGCTGTCGGACCCGGAGCTGCTCTCGGAGCCGCTGTGACTGCTGGTGTCCTCTCGCTCCGCTCCCTCACTGTTATTACTGTTGTTACTGAGAAACGCATACAAATACAGAACATTACACTCATGTTGGGTACATGCTTCCAAAATTAGATATACACTTAAAGTCTAAATTATTCGCCCTCGTGAACTTTCTTTTTCAAATATTTCCCAAATGATGTTTAACAGAGCAAGGATTTTTCACATTATTTCACATAATATTTATTTGTTATATATAAGTATATATATACTTACATATATATATATATATATATATATATGTATATATATATTATATAATATATATTTATTTAAAATAATACTTATTTGTTTTATTTCGGCTAGAATAAAAGCAGTTTTTATTTTCTTTAAACCATTTTAAGGTCAATATTATTAGCCTCCTTAAGCAATATCTTTTTCGATTTTCTGCAGAACAAACTATCATTACAATTACCCTAACTTTAACCTAATTAATCTAGTTAAGCCTTTAAATGTCACTTTAAGCTGAATACTAGTTTCCTGAAAAACATCTGGTCAAATATTATGTGCTGTCATCATGGCAATGAGAAAAGAAATCAGTTATTAGAGATGAGTTATTAAAACTATTATGATTAGAAGTGTTTTGAAGAAACCTCTCTGTTAAACAAAAAATAGGGAAAAATATACAGGGGGCCGATAATTCAGATTTCAACTGTATGTTGATATTCTGATTATCGCAGAATAAAGCCCGACAGGTTTATCGGCAGCCATACGTGAAGTGGAGCACTGTTGTATAAGACTGAAGGCTTGCGAAAACAACTGTCCTGGATGTACTTTATCCAGCTTATTACATGGCTACTTGCCACAAAACATACAAATTAGACACAAAATATTGTTATGAGCTAAAACAGTTTCTTAACTCTTTAAATAAAAGCAAAGATGACAGCAACTGATGGATCATACACTAACCTGTGCATTATAAAGTCATAAAAAGACAAGCGGACACATATGAATTGTCAGTTAAGCAATGTAGTTTGACTCTTTGGTGATGTCTTGTAAATAAATTATATGTAGGTTAGTGTATGTTTTATTTAGCTAGTTTAGTTTCTGTCAGCTTTGTGTTTTTGACTGTTTGGCGCCATCTTGTGTCTGAATAATGCACAGGTTAGTGTATACTCCCTCAGCTGTTTTAGCTTCTGTTGTGTTTTTGACTGTTTATCTCCATCTTGTGTCTGAATAATGCGCAGGTTAGTGTATACTCCACCAGCTGTTTTAGTTTCTGTCAGTTTTGTGTTTTTGACTGTTTGTCTCCATCTTGTGACTGAATAATGCACAGGTTAGTGTATACTCCATCAGCTGTTTTAGTTTCTGTCAGCTTTGTGTTTTTGACTGTTTGGCGCCATCTAGTGTCTGAATAATGCGCAGGTTAGTGTATACTCCATCAGCTGTTTTTGTTTCTGTTAGATTTGTGTTTAATTAAAGAATTAATATACCATTACAGCGCAGAACAATGTTTTGTGGCAAGCAGCTGTGTAATAAGTGCGATAAAGTACATCCAGGACAGTTGTTTTCACAGAATAGTCTGGCTTTATACTGCGACAACATCCTCCTGGATGTACTTTATCCCTTACTTAAAGAATAATAATAGAGTGTGATTTTGTCACCTTGTGGAGTTGTTTTGAGGGGTGTTTTTGGCAGGATCTTGCTCTCCGTCACTGTCTTCACTGCTGCTGAGCTTAAGATCATCATGAAGCATGCTGAAACAAGAGACATCCATTAAACTGTGGTGAAATAACAGGATTATTCTATTGCATGGTTCATTTGTGTAGCAGCAGTTGTAGCAGCCTTTGCTTTTGGACGTGGCAACCCTTAAACTCCGGTGAAAAAAGTGGTTTTACGTCACACCTGCCTAAGCAAATGAGTCATGCACAACACTGAGGCAGTCCGGGTTGACAGGTGTGTCCAAAGCACTTGTTAAATCCAATCCTGCCTCCAATATTTAGTGCTAAATTCACCCTCAAGCTCCATCATAACATCACAATTCACAAGACAACTTTTCACCTTGACAAGAAATCTCGACACAATTTAATCTTGAGATCTCGTAGCCCAAGATCTCGTCACACCCCTAATATATATATATATATATATATATATATATATATATATATATATATATATATATATATATATATATATACATACATATATACATACATATATATACATACATATATATATATACACAAACACACACACATATATATATATATATATATATATATATATATATATATAATTATTAGTGGTGTCAAAATTAATTGTTTCTTTGGTGCACCGCGATGCAGATGCGGACAATTTGGTATCGGTTTAGTAATAATCAGAACCGGTTATTGTGTACTAACGTCATTTATCTCATATGCGCTATATTGCAGTAGCTTACAAAGGCAAGGGAGGCGAGCGAAAGTATTTACAATACTACTTAAAAATGCAGAAACTGTGCACAATTTCACTGCGTGTGTGTTTGCTGGATCAGTCTTTCACTGACACTTACAGCAGAAACCCCTATTTCACTGCGATTGAGAGTATGAAAGTACTCTATTTGGCTCTCTCTCTCTCTCTCTCTCTCACTGTGGGCTGTTTGACCTGCTGGCGACTTTTCCTCTTCTCTAAACTGTTACAGCGAAACTTCTGGATACAGACAGGAGCTCGTGTCTGCAGAGTTTTCTCCACCGTGTCTATCATGAATCAGCTGTGATCGCCGCTGCTGTTTATCAGCGTCACCCATCTATGAAGGGCGCAGCGCGTAAGAGCCAATCGCAGCCCTTTCTGTTGAGCGCGTGACCAATCATTGGGGTGTAAGAACTTGCTGGACAAGGCTAAGGCCAGCAGGATATTTATGCGTTTATCTGCTGTAAATGCTTGTGTTGTTTAAAGGTGCAGTTTATATATCTGAAAGTTTGTATTAAAGGACAAAATTGTATTACAAATCGTATATAAATATTAATATATTTATACATTTTAATACAAGAACTGCTGCTGTGAAGAAAATATAAAATGTATAAAATATAAATTGTATGGAAAGCATCATGATGCACCGAGACATTGAATTAAACTGAATCGATGGCATTATAATCGTAACCAAACCGTGAGACCAGTGTAGGTTCACATTTAGAGTATATATATATATATATATACACATTTATTTATTTATATATTTTATTCATTATCCATTTTTCGCATCTCATATTATACAGAATATATGACAAAGTTTCTTAATTATTACGCCAGAGTGAGAGTATAGCTCCTAGCCATATTGGTCTAGAAAATACCAACTTTTCATTTTCGGTCAGTCTTAGGGCGTACTCACACTATGCCATCCGTACCGTGCCCTGGCCCGTTTCCCGGATCCTTTAAGAAGTGTGAGTGCGCTGAATCGGGCTCAAGCACGGTTCACTTGGCCGGCCCTGGCCCGGTTGGAAGAGGTGTGCCTGAGCACGGTTCACTTGGGCTTTGGCGCAGTACGCTTGTGTGTGAGTGCAAAACACGCCAAAGCCCAAAACTGAAAGCGAGACGTGACTTTTACGGGACTGTTTGATATGGATTTATTAATCATTCTTACTGTTCAGTGAACGCAAACTGCCGTAGTTTATTAAAAACGAGAACTCCTCACAGCACGACAGCTGCGCGCCTTTAGCAGACCTCCTCATTCCTGCAGCACGAGGGCTTTATGATTGTTTATGAGCGCCAAAAGTGGCGGATCTGTTCAGCGAAATATCTGACTGCGTGTCCCCGCATCCCTAAGGACTGTGTGGCGAAATATCTGACTGCATGTCACTGCATATCAAACCACTGAAACGATATAACTAGAGAAATCTCCACTGTGCTGCTGAGTGAGAGAGCGCTTCTCACTGAACAGCGCAGCAGCGATGACGTAAGCATGCCGAGGCCCATTTGTGGTGTGAGCGCGGGCCGTCAGGGGAGACGGGAGGGGGGAAAAGTCTGCTTTGGCCCGGTTCGAGGCAACTGTACCAAGTGTGAGTACTGTCTAAATACATGATATAACTACAGAAGAATCACGCTTTAAATAAGAAAATTATCAAAACTATTTGGTCATCGAGTAAGATGCTAATGGTCTAATCCGATTCAATGATCTATGATAAGCTAAGCATAGATCTAAATGGATTTAACAATTATAAAACTCAACTTGGTTGAACTCTAGGAGAGTTGTAAAATGATTTTATTTCTAAAAACAGTGTTGGTGTACTAGTTTTAGGCCGCACAGGAGGACAAGCTTCCTCCAACTGTACATCAGCAATGAGTGTAGATCTGATCGGTGGTGTAAAGTGACTCACTTGGACTGCTCGCTGTCACATGGCTTTGACGGGTGACTGGTTGATGCGCTCTTCCCTGAGAACTTTTCTGAAAAAGGAGAAAATGGATGGCCATATTAACCTGCACCACTACTACACGACTGAAGAGGCACTTAGTACTTAACATGGTAATAAACGACGCTTACTTTGAGCCCCAACAGACTGGTGCTGGGCATCCTGCGAGAGAGAAGGCAACAAACATAGATTTATCACACACACACAAACACACACAAAAACAAAATGCAAAAAAAGCAGTAGACGAAATGTGAACAATGAATGTGAATATTTTATGAAGCTACAGCACCGTTTAAAATCAATGCAATCATGCTCATCCACTCCCAAATGAAAATACTATATTATTTTACAAGCAAACTATAGTAAATAGGGATGTCACGATTTAGATTTTTAATCGAAATCGATCGAAATTTATGCTCAATTTCGATTATCGAATCAAAAAATAGAATCGTCTATGCTGCCACGCCCCCATGTCACGTCAGCTTGGCTTGCCAAGCGGGAAAAAAACAGGCTTGTTGAAGTGCTTGTTAAACTGCAGAAGCAGGAGACCCGTCGACAGAACTTAAACCCTCTCCTCTTTCAATGAAGTCGCCGGTGTGGAAGCATTTTGGATTTCCAGTGAGTTATGCCGAGTTCAGACTGCATGATTTTCAAAGTAGTCGTGTCACAGATGTTCTCACACTGCATGACTATCTGGGCTTGCGTTTCGTCGCTGCTTTGTTTACACTGCAAGATGGATCGGGGACAGGGGCTTTCAGATTGCATGACTTTACTATAGGAAGAATCGCCGACAACTTCGTCCAAACTACGTTCTCATAACTACATAATGAGAAAGAAGCCTTTAATGGGGTAGAACATGTACATGTTTGCTCACCTGGGTTTAAAGGGAATTAGCCATTTCTCCTCAACGTTGATAATAAACTAATTTTTTTCTGTATGAACCGTGAAACAGACACGGGTGCTCCTGAGTCCTGTCAAACCTCCACTAGTTTTTCCTCCATTTCGTGGGTCCAAATAAACCGAAAAAGAGCGCTTTTAACTTCTCCCCCAGCCTCCCGCTGGCCTGCAGCAGGTATACACACACACACACACACACAAGTGAATGCTGCTCTCTCATTGGCTGTAGGCGATCGCTGATGTTATTTTCAGTCAAAACTCAATTCACACGGCATGATTTGAATCTCCGACAGCTCCAGATATTTAGCAAGTCAGATATCTCGCAGGCATCGGCGACTCATCGGCGATTCTCTCAGATCGCGTCTTTGATCGTTCATACTGTGTGATTGTCACTCACGTGCACGAGCAGCGATTTGCCTGTGATTTCAGGCATTTGACGGCGATTTCTCAAAACCTATCGGCGAATCAAAATCAGGGCTAAAATCACGCAGTCTGAACTAGGCATTATGTTGACAACGTTCGTGTTGTCGACAAACAAAAAAAAACACCGTTTTGCAAGCTCTGCTATTTACGTATTACGTACGGTTCGTCCGATAGACAACACCGGCATCGCGATCCTCCGCCCGCCCCAGTTGCAAATCCGCTCGCGAACAGTACACACTCAGGCCCTGTTTACACTGTCTTTGTTTTTAAATGGCATTTTAGAACGACAACGATTTGACATCCACAGTGGCGTGTAGCATTTCTGAGCAGCACTCCTTCCTCTCTACCTCTGAAAATGCACATCACGTGACCACACAGACAGACGCACACACAGCCATGCGCTCGAGACAGCAGGTCCAGGCAGTCAGAGGACTGCTTCAATCTTTCACTCACTTGTACTTAGTCATTTTAGCGAACACCTCAGATACTGTTGGCTGTTCCTGTTGGTTGTGAGTCTTTTTTACCGACGCCATTATAACGACACAGATCACTGCCTATTCACGAGTCCCGCAGAAAAAAGTGATTGACAGGTGGTAATTATGTGTGTATCTTGCCTTTATTCATTTACTGTATGATTTGTTTATGGGTAAAACAAAGACCATGCAGGTCAGGTAGTTTAAACGGTAGGCTACAAATAATTAATTGGTCATTAATTAATTATTCATAATTGAAAATTGAATCGAATCGTGCCTTTAGAATCGAAAATGTAATCGAATCGAGGATTTGGAGGATCGTGACACCCTTAATAGTAAAGTATTTAAATCTGCTGTGGTCATTCTATTGTGGTGCTACAACAAATACAGCAACATAGAAAAGCTACCCGGTACTTTAAGTTTGGTATGGCTATACATGATACCAACAGGATTTTGAAAAGTGTGTGTTGGTTTGTTCCATGTCCCCCTGGCTAAATCAAAATGGCATCCCTTCCTAAAAGGATCTCTAATCCAAAGAGCACACGTTAATCAGCCCTGAAGCATCTTTAGTTTGCTTTTGGATATTAAAGACGTGTTGGTGTCTGACCTTAGCGTTGGAGAAGGGGAATTTGGAAGGCGGCTCGGTCTTGCAGGGGGTGTGAATGGCTGTTAATGGAGGAGGCCAGACCTGAGTCATTTCCTGATGGAGAAACACAGTTTAAACAGCTTCAGTTGAAGACAGTCGAGAAAATGACTTCCCTTCAACGCTTCATCCTGAAAGCCTCCAGTACACACAACATCAGCATGCATTTCCTTTTTTTTACATTAGATTTCTCATGTCCTTATTTCCACATTTTAGTACAAGACAATGGGACAGAAGTTTTAACAGTGCTTCCCTTTGGGAAACATAATGAGAAACTCGAGAGATTTGAATAGGAAAAAACGATTTGTTTGACAGCCTTGTTTGACAATTTAATCATTTTAAAAGCCTCAGGTTTGAAAGTTTTGCTAAGACTAAATTTGAGGAATTGATGTAGATTTTAGATTGAGGGAAGAACTATGAAGGAGATAATAACGCATTTCGAAGATCCATGAAGTTTTTACCTTGCTGCTAAAATGTTAGCCAAGAGTTTCTCAACTATGTTCCTAAACGACCACAAACACTACGGGCCTTATCATACATACGGTGCAATAAGGTGCAAGACGTGTTTGGCGCAATTTGTTGCTATTTTCAGACCAGCGCAGCTGTAATTTTCACATTTTGCACCACATATTTTAAATAGCAAATCCATTTGCGCTTCTTTGTGAACGCATGGGTGTGCTGGTCTATAGAGGAGGTGTGTTAAGGCACTTTGTAGGCGTGTTGCTATTTTGAGGAACTGAAATAAACCGAGCCATTGACCAACTAACAGCTGCTCTAAAGTCCAGCGCAGAGTTAGTTATGCACCTAAGCCAGTCCAAACGCTTACACATGCTTAATCTGTGCTTAATACACACAGGTTGTACAGCAAAATACCAATATCTTTACATATAAACAAAATTAAAGGAATAAAATCGTACAAATTTAATCTTTTCTACATAAACATAGAAACCGCTGCCTCCATCACCTCAGGTTTTTTTTCTCTCAGTTTATTCATAACAATCTGCATGTGTAAAATGTTACTATTATTAGCAGTATTAATTATTATATGCCTATTTACATTTGTTTTAATAAAAACTAGATTCGATTTGTCCACCTGTGGGGTTTTAGAGACGTCTGCATCACCATATGGGGCATAAGAACAGGACGTGTGTTTGAATATAACTCAGATTTTTGAGCACACTTCATTATTATTGTTCATTTATTCCTTTGCTGGAAATTGAATTTAGAAATAGTTTTGAAGCAAATCTTTGCGCTTGACAAATGAAATTAAATATGTAGGCTGATGGATGTCTTTAGTGTAGTGAGTTTTTACTGTTCCCTTACTCCACCAAAGTAAAGGAGCAAAGAGGAAAAGTAAAGTAAAAAGAAAGTAAAGAGGCTGAATGGAGGAGGCTCGTTCTTTATCCTCGCGCTGCAGATGCTGTTTAACTGTTCTCACTAGTGAAGCATTCAGTTTTTACACTTAAAGTCGCCATGTAAATAGCAAATGCACCATGGTGCATCGCAACTGACTCTTAAGGAGAATGTGAGATGAGACTCTGATTGGTTTAATGCAGGTTATTCTCAAAACACACTCATATCTCATTAAGAGAATAAGCACAACCCTGTTAGACTATGCGCCAGGGCGCAGAGCGAATTATTCCCATTCTTAAAAATAGCATAAGTAGATTCAGACATGCCCTTAAAAGCTTTTGCGCCATGCACTTTAGACTTTGCGCTTAGATCGTTAAAAAAAGAGCCCTCCATGTTTTGGACGTCTTCTTTGTCATAACAGGTTTTTCAGTCTCTGCTTATGAGCTGATGATCTGAATTAGGTGCGTTTGGTTATGGAGACAGAAAATGTGCAGAGCTGGTGCTCCTACAGCAGTGGTTCTCACTAGTGGTACGCAGGCTTCCTTCTAGTGATACGCGAAGGAATCGCTGAATAATTAAAGTAAAAAATTGACGCGTACGATAAAATCGGTGTGACCAGTAAGCTGATTTTAATAGGCTAAACCTTTTATTTTATTTTTAATTTTCTAATGTTTGTTATGCGTTCTATCATTTGAAGCTTGTTGGGGGTGTATCCCATATTTTTCCATCCCGATGTTGACAGGTATAGTTTAATCACTTGCTTTTCTGACACAAATAGCCTACTCTAATGTGCAGTAAGCAGATCTAATTTCTAACTTAAATATTCAAATCCAATTAATATAACTAAAATATGTTGACGTTTTATTTATTTTGACCTGTAAAGTACAGTACAGTGTTAATGTTCAAACTGTTTATAATGTTTAAAGTGGCTGACAATACTAAATATTCATTATAATAAGAATTAATCTGCTATGTTTTTGAACTGTGCAGTGCTGCAGCTGCTTATTTAGACCCACTACACTACTGTTTTTCAATACTGGTGGTCCATGAAGATACAATTTCTGAGGTGGTACTTGGTGAAAAAGTTTGAGAACCACTGTCCCACATGAACGTGGTTGAGAAACACTGGCCCTAAGCACTACTAGCACCTTTTAATCCATTGTTAACATGCAACATATTGCTAGATATTAGCAGGTTAACACGACTGAACATACTGTTAAGTGCTGCTTATGTGTTGCTAGGCATTATCTTTTTAACTTGTGTTTTAACATGACATTAGCATGCAAACTTGCTAGTTAATAATTTGATATGCTTTAATAGACTGTTGTAAGTTTATATTATGAGTTTGTTAGGCCTTAACAGGTTGTAAACATGACTGAACACATCGATAAGTGTAGCTAACATGTTGCTAGTCATTAGCGGTATGTTGTACCCTGCTGAAAAAAATAGCTTAAACCAGCCTAGGCTGGTTGGCTGGTTTTAGCTGGTTGACCAGGCTGGTTTTAGAGGGGTTTTGGCCACTTCCAGGCTGGTTTCTAGCCATTTCCAGCCTGGTCTTAGCTGGTCAGGCTGGGAGATGACCAGCTAAAACCAGCTTGACCAGCCTAGCCAGGCTGGGAGCCCAGCCAAAACCAGGTATGTCCAGCTTAAACCAGGCTGGTCAAGCTGGTTTTAGCTGGTCATTTTCCAGCCTGACCAGCTAAGACCAGGCTGGAAATGGCTGGAAATGGCCAAAACCCCTCTAAAACCAGCCTGGTCAACCAGCCTAGGCTGGTTTAAGCTGGATTTTTCAGCAGGGTAAACATGTTATTAATAACTGCTAGCTTGTTTTAACAAGATGCTTGCACATAGTATTGCTAAGCTTGCTAAAATGTTGATAAGCATCGATAGACTTCTGTCAACATTTGAACACATTGATAGCCTGTTGATAACATTAAACAATGTTAAAAGTTGCTAAGCCACTGAAATTCAGCTGTCAACATTGACATGACTGCAAGATGACATGACTTTATCAGGTAACATTGCTAAATACTGCTAACTGTAGACATTGTTAGACTGCTGTAAAGCATTTTAACATGTTGCTAACCATTGTTAGCCTTAAACATACTGCTGATTGTTGCTAACTCTGTTAGCTAAGCCACCAAAGAGATGTTTTCATTATCGCCATGCAGCGCTGGCATGTTTTAACATGTTAGCATCCTTTGCTAACATTGCTATTAACACATTGCTAAGCATTATTACTTGTTGCTAAATTTGAACATATTGCTAACACTTTGTTTGGCATCATTAGCACATTGTTAACATGACTAAACACATTTGCTATTGCTTGGTATTGTTAACATCTTGCTAATATCTAAGATATTGCTTCACAGCACTTTATAAGCTGTGAGAAAAGGGGAATACATTTATTTTTTACAGTAAGTGTTTACTACCAAGAGCAAATAATAAAACACTTCTTACCTTTAAAATCTCATCAACACAGCTCGCATCCCCCGCCTGCAAGAGTGACGAAAAGCATGCAGATTAGCTTCAAAAGCAGCACATAACCATCACATACAGGTGAATTACATATTTTAATATTGAATAAAACCCTCAATAGGGCTATGATGTGCAGAAGAGTTTATAAATAAGACATTAACCTAAAATTAAGACCACTGCTTAGTCATATCTGAAGTTATTGTTTATTATATTAATTAGAAGTCCAACAGTCAGGAACTGAATGGCCATATTTGTACTCCATTACACCTAGCATGTACAAAAATAACTACTACATAATGGAGGCTTAATGGTATGCTTACAATTGTGTTATTTATGGACACATTGGATGGCAGGGGCTTCGGAAACATTTCCACATTTGGCACATGCTCAAAGTTCTCCTGGTTTAGTGCATTTAACAGTGGCTAGATAGGCTGAAAGTATGATCTCTAGCATTAGAAATCGATTTTTAGCATGAGTTGCTTTTGCAAGTTAGTCTTGGGAGAAAAGGGCACTATTGAATTTTGTGGCTGAAACATGTGATCGTAAATAACTTGAGTTTGAGCAATGTGCGTGTACACACTTCTATTAGGCGTCACATTCAGTCAGTCAGTTTTTGACTTAAGCATAAAAACACTATCATATGTTTGCAGATATTTAAGAAACATGCGAAGCGAACATTCTTGTTTATCTGAAAAACAATACTGAAGTCTTGATAGGACAACACCGGAATACATCAAATCCGGTCAAGCGGTCGCATACGGTCTAGTCACTGAAGTTCAAATATATTTTCCGGCATATGGCGATGATCAGAACTTTACGCAGCTCAGAGAATACTCTCCAATGGAAAGATTGACTTCCTGTCAGTCGTTTGTCAAGTGCAGTGGAAAGGCGGCATAAGTAATGTAGTTCAGATTCGTAAAAATGTAAACAGCTCCCTCTAGTGGATTTGTCATGTGAAATGTAAAATAAAACAACCCCTATGTAACGTATTTTAGATTCATAAAAATGTAGACAGCGCCCTCAAGTGGATTTGTCATGTGAAATGTAAAATAAAACAACCTCTATGTAACGTATTTTAGATTCATAAAAATGTAGACAGTGCCCTCAAGTGGATTTGTCATCTAAAACATACAAAACGACCCCAAAGTAACGCATGTCAGATTCGTAAAAATGTAGACAGCGCCCTCTAGTGGATTTGTCATCTGAAACATGCAAAAATACGACCCCTAAGTAACGCATTTCAGATTTGTAAAAAAGAAGACAGCACCCACTAGTGGATCTGTCAACTGAAACATGCACCAAAACAACCCCTAATTAACATATTTTAGACTCGTAAAAATGTAGACAGCGACCTCTAGTGGATTTGTCATCTGAAACATGCAAAACGACCTCTATGTAACGTATTTTAGATTTGTAAAAATGTAGACAGCACATCTGTCATCTGAAACGTAAAATAAAACGACCCCTAAGTAACGTATTTCAGATTTGTAAAAACGTAGACAGCACCCTCTAGTGGATTTGTCATCTAAAACATGCAAAACGACACCTAAGTAACGCATTTCAAATTCATAAAAATGTAGACAGCGACCTCTAGTGGATTTGTCATCTGAAACATGCAACAAAACGACCCCCAAGTAACGCATTTCAGATACGTAAAAATGTAGACAGCACATCTGTCATCTGAAACGTAAAATAAAACGACCCCTAAGTAACGTATTTCAGATTTGTAAAAACGTAGACAGCACCCTCTAGTGGATTTGTCATCTAAAACATGCAAAACGACACCTAAGTAACGCATTTCAAATTCATAAAAATGTAGACAGCGACCTCTAGTGGATTTGTCATCTGAAATGTGCAACAAAACAACCCAAGTAACGCATTTCAGATTAGTAAAAATGTAGACAGCGCCCTCTAGTGGATTTGTTTTCTAAAATTTACAACAAAATGTACCCCAATCTAAGAATTTCATGTTTCATAATGACACATCAATACCTACAGTACTTGGCAATAAAGTGATTGTGGTTCTGGAAAGCATGCGTGACTTACCTCTGGAGGCTGTGTTGGGATCTTGAGCTTGGGGAGTGGGCCCTTTCCATTGGGCTTCATTTCTCCAACTGTGCTGCTGTGCGATTGGCCGCTGTACGAATCTGAAGACGTCTTTGCCTCGGTCGTCTCCTGGCCGTCCATGGGCCGAACGTAAGCGGTGGGCTTCTGGGGCATGGAGCTGGATTTGATGAGCGAGGGTGGGAAGGTTTGGTTGGGATGTCCACTGGGGAAGGAATGCGGGATGGAGGGCGAGTCCCAATTGGCCTCTCTGTCTCTGGGGGACTTGGGGACTCGGCGCGAGTGGTTGCTGGAGACTTTGGCCGGGCTGGAACTGGAGTGGGACTTGTGCTCGTTGCTGTGCTTGCTGGATTTCTTGCTGCCGCTGTAGTCCCGCTCGTGCCGCTGCCCGCTGGAGCTGCTCTTCTGGCTGACGCTCTGCACAGTTGAGCGTTTCTGAGAAGACGATGAAGAGTTGCCACCTCCTGAGGCCGGACCCACCGGGGTCCACTTGCTGCTTTGAGTCTGAGAGCCTCCGCGCTGGTCACCATACTGGCCAGATTTATCCTCGGAGGAAGAGCTGGAAGCTTTGGAAATGAGCTTGGACATTGGCGGTTCACCAATGGTTTCCTTCATCTCGTCGTAATTTCCCAGCATGCTCTGGATGCGACTTGAGAGTTTATCTTCCTTGGCCTGTTGAGAGAAAAGAAGAGAATGAGAAAGGCTTAAGATGATAATGATAATGTGTGAGTAACTTGCAGACTGCTGAAGTCGAACTGATTGGAGTGTAATAACACTATTACACGTTACATTTTGGCAGTAAATCTGTACAACACTTTACAAAAAGGTTGTGTTCGTTAATGTATTTACTAACAAACATGAACAAACTACGTACAGTACATTTATTACAGTATTTATTTATAATTCATTCACTTTTGTTAATGTTAGTAATTAAATGTAAAGTCATTCATATTTTTCAAAACCACTTGCGATATGGAATTTTTGATCGATACTAATAATTCTTCAGATTTATCTGCCGATATATATGGTGGTTAATATCAATACTAATTTATTTTTGCAATCATACAGAAAAATATGACAATTCCGTACATTTATATAGTGCTTTACTGGACACTCAAAGCACTTTCACAGCATCCACCTGGATGACGCGACGACAGTCATATTGTGTCAGATATTGTATTAGGAGACCATGATGGACAGAGTCCCGTGGGCAAATTTGGCCAAGATACCCAGGTTAAACCCCTACTCTTTTTCGAAGAACATCCTGGGATTTTTAACGACCACAGAGAGTCAGAACCTCGGTTTAATGTCTCATCCGAAAAACATAATAGAGTCCCCATCAAGCCAAATATATCTCTTGAACAACTGATCTCTGAACTCAACAACTATTATATAGAATAATGCATATATAAAGCAACAGAACATTAATCAAAATCAAAACAATAAAATTATTAATAAGTAGCAGATAGGAAGCACGTCAAAAGGTTTAGCTGGCGAAATTAATACCTAATCTATAGGCTTAAACATATCGGCCTAATAATGATAACATTAAAATTAGCATTTATCGGCCGATACCGATATGACTGCCGATATATTGTGCATTCCTACCTCAAACTGATCAAGCATTTAGCCAATTTGAAGTTAAACTAAAATTAAAATATATGAACGCACATCTTTGCACCAAAAATGCTACAAGTGGCTATTAAATAAAAGTTGTTCATGGATAGCTCGTTGTTAACAGAGTATTAGCTAATGCTAACAACCATGAATTTGATTTTATTGATGCAATGCATTTATAAATGTTGATCTAATGATTAATAAATGCAATGCAAGTCATGTCCTTATCAAGCCAAATATATATCGTGAACAACAGTTCTCTGAACTTTATAAATCAACTATTTTAAAGGATATATAAAGCAACAGAACATTAATCAAAATAAAAAAATTAAAAAAATAAGTGGCAGGTAGCAAGCACGTCAAGAGGTTTAGCTAGTGGATATAATCTATCTAATCTATCGTCTTAAATATATCGGCCTAATAATGATAACATTTAAATTTGCGTTTATCGGCGGATACCGATATGACTGCCGATATATTGTGCATTCCGACCCAAAACGGATCAAACATTTAGCCAATCTGAAGGAAAACTAAAATTAAAAAATATAAATGCACATTTTTACAACAAAAACGCTACAAGTACCAAAACACATGGCTATTAAAAAAAAAGTCGTTCATAGTTAGCTCGTTAACTAACCGTGCATAAGCTCATGCTAACAATCATGAATTCGGGTTTTAATAATGCATTCGTAAATGTTGATTTATAGATTGATAAACGCAATACAAGTGATGTTCACAATTAGTTCATTTTAGCAAATACATTAATGAAACCGTACTGTAAAACATAACTTATACATATTAGAATCATAAAATAATATATTGTAGGAGTAAAAATAATAATAATAAAAAAAGCCACTTTCTGGATGGAAGAAAGTTCTCCAAAAGTGTCTCAGTGGATTCAGAGACTTAAACAGGTCTATATAATGGAAAAAATGACTGCATGTCTACAGATGAAAACTGATATTTTTCTAAGGAGGTGGAAAAGTATTACGACATATTTGGATATGTATATTTAGAGATTGCTTAACCTCACCTTAACATGACTGTTATTTGATGTAACTACTATGCAATACAATGTAAGTTGATGTACAGATGTATCCCCTGGAAAGTAATTATGATGGCAATACCTTTTATTTTAATTTTTTATTATTTTTTTTTCTTCTTTATTTTTTATTATTATTATAATTTCATTATTTATTTTTATTTTTTTTTTTTTTAGGTATCCCCTCGTGTGTAAGGGATAAAATTTTTGGGGAAGGGGTTGTTCTGTAAAATAAATATAAAATAAAAATCTTAAATAAAAAGTTTCAAAAAAACAAAAAGCCACTTTCTGAATTCAGTTTCTAAATATTTTTTTTTTTCTAGCACAAAATCTATGACTTAGAAGAAGCAAAACGTTAGAAGCTATGCTTGTAGCATTAAGATACTATTAAGGTGTGTAGTAGGGCTACACAATATAAAAAAAATCTAACATTGTAATATTTTTTACTTTGCCATTTATATTGCGATATGAATACAATTTCACCAAATGACGTATCAATATTTGGAAAGAATTTATAATGTTGGATCAATTAAGATGATTCTGCAGTGGTAGTGTATCTACTAAACAAGCTATAAAATGTTTGTGGTCCCCCGACACATGTTCGTTGTTGCTATTTGCAGTGCATTTCTGCATTTGCATCATGCGTTTCGATTATTTCATGCATAACAATCTATAAACATAATCCAAAAATATATATACAGCTGAAATAGTGTTGTATCGTTTCCAGAGTCTAACAGTATTCAAGTACAGTAACTGAGTGATAAAAATAAAAACAATTCAATAAAACTAATTGTAGTTAAAGTCACAAATGATACAATTTCTTATACCTGAATGCTTTTAAGGTTATTATACAAATCACAGGCATCAAAAAGCACATGCAAATGACGAATTATAATACAAACTCAACATTGCATATCCTGCGATGTGACTATTGCGAATGATCACATTGCGCTATCGATGCTGAAACAATAGATTGTGCAGCCCTAGTTTGTAGTAATACTTTGACAATTGTTTTATTTTTAATAAAGTTTTTATTATTTGTCATACTAATTTTAGTAGTTATTTTATAATATACATCTATCCATGGTAGTAAATTAGTCAATACGAAGGACGCTTGTATGCTCTGTTTGTTTAATAAGGGAAGTTACCATGGTATTTTTTTATGGCAAATACAAAGCACAATCATAAGACTTTAAAAGGTTGCTTTTCCAGTCATAATAATTTCCTTCTGTGTACAATCTGTGTACAATCTTTTTTTCTTCCATAAGCCCCACTTAAAAATCTATCAAAACAAAAGAAAAATCAGTCAAATAAGGAACTATAAACTTGCTTTTTATGAGAGCACTTAAGAGAAACGTAAACGTGATTGTAGATAAGTAACTCATAAATCATTTGCATGCACAGTGCTTGAAAATACTGCCTATCTTTAGCAGGTTTCCCATTTATTGCCTCATATTTAAAGGATCGCGATAATGTTGAATCATAACAACAAACAGGACACTAGGATTTAATATCTGTTCACTTTTAAACCTGATCAATCCAGAACGCTTCAGTCAAGAATACTTTTTTTTTTTTTGCACGACTACCCCATGAATGAGTTTACCCAAAATAAACAAGCACAGCACTAAGTCCAGGGGAAATGTCAAAGCTGGGGTTTTCCACTGTTGAAACACACTACTTTATCTAATCCTACAGGGAATATGATGGAAAGAATGGCAATGCTGTCTGTATTCTCTACCTGTCGCTTCACATTTCTCAATGTTCCTCTGACAGGTTCACCAGCAAAGTAAAGCACTTAGCATTGTGTAAATCTGGTTAGCAGCAAAGATTAGACTGTAATCTTCATGGTAACATATGGGACTATACTATCTTCAGCTTTTACCATCGGCCAAATGAAAAATCAAACAAAGCTAAAGAATGTAGTGTGTGGATTAATTTCGTTAGCTTTGCAGCCAATATACACACATTAATGCATTTCTAAAACTACTTCATACGTTGAATTTTTCCCATCAGTACTGGTAACTCTATAGATTTATCAGCCGATATATTAGCCGATAAATATCAGTTATTACTTTTCTGCATGATAACCATTCATAGTTTGAACCAACTTAGTTTTATATAAAGCATAAAACAACCAAGTAGCCGAACATAAACCAAAATCAAAACAACAACGAAAAACGAAAAAAGTGGCATGCAGCAATTACGCAAAGTGGTTCAACCAGAGCAAATACAAAATTTATCGGCTTAAATGTATCAGCCTAATTTTGTTATCAGACGAATAACGATAAGATTAAAAATAGCATTTAATCAGCCGATACCGATATGGCTGCCGATATATTGTGCATTCCTATCTTGAACTGCTCTCTGAACTTTGATCAACTATCCTTTTTTATGGCCAACTTTGTTTTACATAGAATAAAGCATAAAACAACCAATTAACTGAACATTAACCAAAGTAAAACAACAATGAAATACGAAAAAAGTGGCATGCAGCAATTACGTAAGGTGGTTCAACCAGCGCAAATAATGCAAAATTTATCAGCCTAATTTTGTTATCAGATAAATAACGGTAACATTAAAAATATAATTTATCGGCCGATACCGATATGGTTGCCGATATATGGTGCATTCCTACCTTGTACTGATCTCTGAAGTGTATTAATAAATGACTGTTTTTTTATAGCCAACTTTCTTTTATATAAAGCATAAAGCAACCGAGTAATTGAACATTAACCAAAATTGAAATAACAATAAAATATGAAAAAAGTGGCAGGTAACAATTACGTAAAGTGGTTGAACTAGCACAAATAATACAACATTTATCGGCTTAAACGTACTGGCCTAGTTTTTTTATCAGACAAATAACGATAACATTAAAAATAGCATTTATCGGCCAATACCGATATGGCTGCTAATATACAAGGCATTCTAATCTAAAACCAAACTTCAGTGCTAATTCCATGAAAAGTAAATCAGAGAAAGATTTCCAGGCTAATTTGACAAATTTAAACTGAAGAAAATGACAACAATTAAAAACAATGTATCGGCCGATACCGCTGCCGATATGGCTGTCGATATATCGTGCATTCTAATCTAAAACTAATCAAACATTTAGCCAATTTAACACGAAACTAAAATTTAAATATATGAACACACCCAAAAATACTACAAGTAGCAAAACATGGCTATTAAAACAGTGTTAGTGCTGCTTTCAATTATAATTACATTTTAATTTTTACTTAATTTGCAGCTCTTCTGTGTTAACAACATATAACGTGAATCAGAGAAAGATTTCCATGCCAAATTAGATACATTTGAACTCCTGAAGAAAACGACAACAATTAAAAAAACAGAATTTATCGGCCGATACCGATATGGCTGCCGATATATCGTGTATTCTAATCTAAAACTAATCAAACGTTTAGCCAATTTAAAATAAAACTAAAATTAAAATATTTGAATGCACCCAAAAATACTACAAGTAGCAAAACATTGCTAACAAAAACAGGGTTAGTGCTGCTTTTAATTATATATATTTTTTTACTTTAATTTGTACTAAATCAACAGCTCTTCAGTGCTAACAACATGTAATGTCAATCAGAGAAAGATTTCCAAGCCAAATTAGACATTTGAACTCCTGAAGAAAATGCCCATTAAAAATAGCATTTATCGGCCGATACAGATATGGCTGCAGATATATCGTGCATTCTAATCTAAAACTAATCAAACATTTAGCCAATTTAACGCAAATCTAAAATAAAATGTTATGAATGCACCCAAATATATTACAAGTAGCAAAACACTGCTATTGAAAACAGCGTTAGTGTAGCTTTCAATTGTAATTAAACTTTAGTCTGTACTAAATCAACAACTATTCAGTGCTAACAACATGTAAAGTAAATCAGAGAAAGATTTCCAAGCCAAATTAGACACATTTAAACTCCTGATGAAAACGACAACAAATAAAAACATTATTAGTTTATCTGCCGATACCGATATGGCTGCCGATATACTGTGCATTCCTACCTTAAACTAATCAAACATTTAGCCAATTTAAAGTAAAACTAAAATTTAAATATTTGAATGCACCAAAAAAAATACTAAAAGTAGCAAAACATTGCTAACAAAAAAAGTGTTAGTGCTGCTTTTAACTATAATTTTTCAAACTTTAATTTGTACTAAATCAACAGCTCTTCAGTGCTAACAACATGTAAAGTGAATTAAAGAAAGATTGGCAAGCCAAACTAGACACATTTTGATCTCCTGAAAAAAACAACAACAATTAAAAACAGAATTTAATCCAAAAATCAGATTAAGCCAGCTCACATTTTGATCAAGCTTGATGAATATTGTGGTCTTAGGCTACGTTTACATGACAATGTAGCCAAAAACAAACAAAAAAATGTTTGGCAATTGATCCACTAATAAACACCACTGCGAAAACATCCAAAAACACTAGTCAGGCCAGATTTGTCACTATGACCTTGTTAGTAAAAAGTACCTTTAGAGAATTGATGACCAGCCAATGATGGCGCTCGTGTCCATCTATAATGTTATCGTGTGGGTAAGATGACCCATAAGATGCTTTTGGTTTTATTGTTAAGCGTTAGAAAACACAGAGCAACAACACTTCCACATGCTTTGCCATTGTTGTGTGTGTATGTCTTTAAAGGTCCTGTGATACTGGAATTCAGTACTGACATTTTTAAAAACGTCCATTTCTCGACAACATTTGAGCGCGTTCTTAAACAGCGCTGACTAGCCATTGAGTTCACGTGCTCAACAGAAATGACTGTGATTGGCTGTGAAGGGCATCAGTTCACCAAACTCACTGCTGTTTACTAGGTGTAACCACAGATACAGGGACACTGGAGCATTTCAAAGTCACGTCGATCAGCTGGTTTGTCTAGAAGCTGACATACGAACAATCCACTGACAAAAAAAACTTTAAATCGATCCAGTGTTCCTGTGTTTGTTGTTACAGGCAGTAAACAACGGTGAGTTTGGTGAATCTTCACGGCCAATCTATTTAAGAACGCACTCAACAGCGTTCAATTGCTAGCGGGAAATCAACGTTTTAAAATTCCAGTACCGATTGGTATCGAATTCCAGTATCGTGACAACACTGAAGTGCTTTGAAATGTTGCATTTTTATTCAATGTATGACAATATCAACTGAAAAATTAAGAGGGCGGGGCATAGAGTGGCTCCTCCCCTTTAAAAAAAGAAAACAGCCAATAGTGTTTTGTTTTTAATACAGCTCTGCCAGTGAGAGTGGTTGAGCTAAAAGTGCATTAAATGAACAGCCAATGAGAGGAATCAAAGTCAAAAATAGAACAAGCACCCAAAGATAAAACAAACTCTACAGGGCAAAAAAAAAACTAAAAAGTAATCAAAATCAAAAGGGAAAAAAAGAAGAAACAAAATGAACTTACAACTTTAATAGGTTCAGGAAAGAGGGGGGAGTTAGCTGGAAAGGCCTCTCCTCCCTGCTGGATTTCTTGATTTCTCCTTTCCCTTTCTTTCATACGGAGCACATTCCGGTCTTCACGGTTCATGTTGCTAACAACAGAGACAGAGTCACTAAGCAGTGAAGAAAGAAAAATACCTTCCCCACACCTTGACTAACATTTAAACCAAGAGAAAGTTACACATTTAAAGAACAAATAGCAAAAATAACTTAATAAAGGATTGCTTTTAATACTTTCCCTGTTCTGATTTAGAGTTAAAGTTACATAGGAGAGCTCAACATTAGAGGTTAACATAATTAATGCTAACACGAACTCGTTTCTTTATGTTTTATGCTGTGCGATTTTACATCTGACTCACAAAAGCAGTTCAATTCTCTGCTAATTTATTCTGCAATGGAAAATATGATGAAATGAGATCCCATACACACACACTGACAAAGAAATGAAGGGTGATTTCAGAAGTGGAGACATTTGTAAGAGCTAACAGCCGAGGTTATGGGGGATTTGCAGTTTGTTAAATGAAGGTTGAGTAAACGGACTGTGCTGATGAAACTTCCTAAAAAAACAAAACAAAAAAACACACACATCTTTGATGCAGATGCTTCAGAAATGTTGAAAGGATCTTTAAAAAAATAAACACATAATAAAAAAAACAATTATTCAAAAATAATTCTCCTAAAATGTCAAAGCCACAATAAGATGAAGTGTAATAAAGTTTACAATCGATGACTTCTATTTTCTGTAATAACATGAAAAAAGCCATTACTATGGGTTCAGTTAAAAAAAACATGAAAATTTGCTAAATAAAACAAGCAAAATCAAATAAAGAATATAAATGAAAGATAAAAATGAAAAAAATGAGCAAAAACAGAAACATGAGGGAAAAGACAAACAGAACAAAAACAAAAAAAAAGAGAAAATCTAAGAGAAAGCTAGAAAAAAGAATTTAATAAGTTAAACAAATAATGAAAGATAAAAAGATGGAGAGAGGACAAAAAGACTCAAAATACAGACAGTAAAAAGAAACAAAGAAAAAGAAAAGACAGACAAAAAGGAAAAAAGAGAAAGAACAAGAGAAAGATGAAAAACAGAAAATAAAAGAAAAAAAAATTAAGAAAAAAACAACAAATGAGAAAGATGGAAGACAAAGACAGAAAAGACAAAAAAAACATAAGAATGAAAAAAAGAAATTAACAAATGAGAGAGAGAAGACAAAAACAGACAGAAAAAGAACGACAAACAGGCAAAAAAAAGACAAAAACAGACAGACAGAAAAATTTATCAAAGTTAAAAAAAGAAAAGACAGAAGACAAAAACAAACAAACAAACAAGAGAAGACAAAAAAGAAAAACGCAAGAGAAAAACAAAAACAATCAAGACAACACAGTAAAAAAAGAAAAAAGAAAACAAACAAGGGAGAAGACAAAACAGACAGAAAAAAAGAATGACAAACAGACAAAGAAAAGGACGAAAGAGTAAAAGAAAGAAAGAAATAAAGGGACAGAAAGAAGACAACGCAGACAGAAAATGAATGACAAACAGGCAGAGAAAAAGACAGACAGACACTAAAAACACAGACTAGACAAACACAGACAGAAAAAAGACAAAAGAAAAAGAAACAAACAAATAAGCAGAAAAGAGAAGACAAAAACAGACAGAAAAAAGACAAAGAAAATAAAAACAAACAAACAGAAAGAAATAGAAGATAAAAATAGACAGAAAAAAAGACAAACAGAAAGACAAAAAAGAAAGAAACAAGAGAGAAGACAAACAGAAAGAAAAAGACAAAGAAAAACAAAAACATAAGAAAAAATGGATAAAAACAAACAGGACAAAAGACAAAAAACTAACAAACAAAACAAAAGATAGAAAAAGAAAAACAAAAAAGACAAGGAAAAATGACAAAAACAGACAGAAAAGACAAAATAGGAAAAATGTAGAAAGAAAAAAGAAACAGAAACAAACAAAAGAGAAAAGGAGAAGACAAACAGAGAGAAAAAAGACTGACAAACAGAAAGAAAAACAAAGAAGACAGACAGACAAATAAACAGACAGATTGTTTTAATATGATAACAGTCCTCCAAAAAATAAACTGCTTTTTAGACAATAAACAAAATCAATGAAACTTTTAAAAAGTAAAAAGAATTGGAGTAATGTCTTAACCCTCCATGTAAAAGCAAACATCAGCAGAGCTGCTCGGAGAAGGCCAGCATCACTGATTAGATCAGTAAACGGTGCCGTATGACATCACGTCGGGGGAGGATCTGACTCTCGGGGTGTTTTTACACACGATTTCAAGGGGAGTCACTTTTGATGGACGAGATCCCGTCACAGTGACGTGGAGCTTTTATTTTGTTAAGCTGATAGCCGTGTGGAGAAGCTCAGTGAATGAATGTGCTAATGCGACAACGTTTACACCACAAAGACCACTCAGATGAGGGAATGAAGTCGACTGTCTAGTTTATAGCAAATGTAAGTTGAACAAAAATAAGTCGTCCCAAAAACTTCAAGAATTGTTTAGTTTGCAAGTTAATAATAGTTTTCGGATTTTTCATTAGTTTATTTTCTATTACGTTTTGAATCCCAGGATGTCCTTTATAAAAGAGTAGGGGTTTAACTCCAGCATCCTGGCCAAATCTGCCCTCTGTTCATCATGGCCTCCTAATCATCCCCATATCATAATTGGCTTCATCACTCTCTCCACCAATCAGCATCCAGGTGGATGCTGCACACAGGTGGTGAAAGTAGAAATTGGTCTTGAATAGATGTGTACACTCAAAACAAAGAACTGTGATTGTACAACGTAGACGACTTAAGTTATAAATACACAAAATTAACATTCCGTCTGTGATATGACATGCAAGTCCATGGTTTCCGCTACATTTATTCTTCTGTGGCGGGGCGCCACACCAAATTCATCCCGCCACGGCTACATTACAGCTTCTTATTCAAAATATTCGGTGTTTTTTTTTAAATAGCGGGTTTAAATTCGCACCGAAAACGTATGAAAGTGTAAGTGAATAACAACAGCGCAAATTTTTCTGTGACCGTAGTAGTGCTGTGTGTTCTGTTTAACCCTTTAAGGTGACGTGCTGACTGACTGACAGGTGAGGGATGTGTGAGACCAGCAAACACAGCGTAGCTTTCAGTTATGATGAACACAGTTTCCATAACTATACTTTATTTATAGATAAAGGTCTGTGGCTCTGCATATAATGACTTTATCTTGCTGGAGTTTAGAGCCGTTTCACTTTACTTCAGGACGCATTAATGCCGCGGTCCGCTCCACAAGACTATCAGAGACATTCTGAAATATTCCTAGCAAATCTAATAAATGTTGGAGACATGCTCGCTACATAAATGCACTAAATCACACTTCAGCTGCGTTTATTTGAGAGCGCGCAAGAAAATTTGCTCGAGCAGCGTATATTTGAGTGCGCGCAAGAAGTTTTGTGCACGAACAGAGGAAATCGGCGCTCAAGCAGAGATTGACATGCTCGTAGACTATAACATGAACGCGATCTTGACTTAGTACTGTGCCCACGACCTGTCAATGAAATATCGCCACATGTAGTGCTAGATCTGTGTAAAATGGCCAACAGAGTCTGCCGCCACAGCTGGAAAAAATCCTAAAGGAAACACTGAAGTCATCTTATAATCATGTCAAAATGTCCTGCCGAAGCATCTTCAGGTGACATTATAAATCTAAGTTGCACAAGTTTGAAAAGCAATAAGAAAAATTTATGAATTGTTTTATATCAAAATATCCAAACACATTGTGTTAAAGGGCACCTATGATGAAAATCATTATTTGGAAGCTGTTTGGACAGAACTGTGTGCAGGTATAGTGTGTCCACTGTCATATTGGGGAAATGAAAAGCCAATAAGTCTTTTTTTTTTTTTTTTTTTGACGTTAAAATTTAATCCAATTCCCTCCCATTTTAAGACGCAACGTGACATAGGAGTGCGGTTTTCACGCCCACCGAATTGATTGACAGCCATGAATTAACATGTCTCCGTAGTATTGTGTATAATCATATCAACAAGACAGGACATGCGCATAACAACTGGGATTAAAAGATCTGTTGAGCGCTCTGTGATCATCAATCATCATCAAATGTGATCAAGAAGGAGTTTAAATGTTTAAAATGCTTTTGTGTGTTTGTAATGAAGACAGCAAAATCATTGCAATTTATCACCACACTCGAGTGTCAATACAATTATAAAAGAAGACGAGTCAATCCCGGTTTGTGGACGTTAAACCAGGTTTATTTTGTACATTAAGATAACGGATATCCATACAGCAGTGGATATTAACGTGTATCCTGTCACATTTGCGATGCAAAAACAGTGCAAAGTTAAACGCGCGTGCTGTGTAAGCTTTGTAACGACATTGTATGTGACTCATCAAAAGGCTTGTATCAACTCCTCAACAAATACATCAAATAATCATTGGGAAAGTTTTTACTGTAGTATTTCTCACAAACGATACGCAATAACGAAATGCTACCTTCTCTGTGATGTCGTAAGCACTATATTGCTTTTTGGTTCCTCTTATCTGATTGGATGTTGTGAGCACGTTATTATTTTCCACAACAACAATACAACAATTCCAATACAGCGAAGAAACGGCAACATTAAATGATGATGCAAAAAGAAAACATTTGTTTTTAACTTCTTTAAAGCAGAAATTGCGAGGGTACACAACGACAAAAAAAAAAAAAAAAGAAGTGATGTTTTGTACAGTTTGTCTTCAGTTTGGCAGGTCTGCCACTTTTGTTTTGCAATAAAATACCTGCACATTTTCCATACCGCTACTTTTGTTTGCATAACACTTTGATTTGTGCTCACTTTAAATGAATTAACGGCGAGGCATTGGCGCAGTAGGTAGTGCTGTCACCTCACAGCAAGAAGGTCGCTGGTTCGAACCTCGGCTCAGTTGGCGTTTCTGTGTGGAGTTTGCATGTTCTCCCTGCCTTCGCGTGGGTTTCCTCCGGATGCTCCGGTTTCCCCCACAGTTCAAAGACATGCAGTACAGGTGAATTGGGTAGGCTAAATTGTCTGTAGTGTATGAGTGTGTGTGGATGTTTCCCAGAGATGGGTTGCAGCTGGAAGGGCATCCGCTGCGTAAAAACTTGCTGGATAAGTTGGCGGTTCATTCCGCTGTGGCGACCCCGGATTAACGACCTATTCACACGGGGCTTCAGCGTCAACGCTTGACTGAAGGCGTGTCTGAAGTTGGGGCTGAAGCGATCGTCATAAAAGCGTCAGCCAATGAAATCCAGTCAGCAATAGGCCACTGTCTGAGCTGGTGTATTTGCATACAGCGATCTGATTGGCTGATGCTTCCGTTTGCGCTTGAAAAGTTGAGCTAGTCCCAACTTCTGCAGTGAGCAACGCTTCTGAAGCGGCGCCGACGGATCCACAATGCAGTTCGTCAACGCCTGACGTCACCCATTCAAAGTGAATGGGAAGCGTTGACGCTGACGCCCCGTGTGAATAGGGCGTTATAAAGAGACTAAGCCGACAAGAAAATGAATAAATGAATGAATTAATTAACATTTTTATAATATTTAGATTCTAGATTGACAAATATATTTTTTTAAATTTGTGGCTAAGAAATAGCTACTAACTTTTTCGTGGTTGGGCCAGTGAAAATATTGGCAGGGCAAGTAAAAATCTGAACCACTGGTCCGATCGGGCCAGTAGAAAAAAATCCTTAGCGTTGAATCCTGTAATGAGTGTTTTGAGCTGAAACTTTACAGACACATTTTGGAGACACAAAGACTTATCTTAAATCTTGAAAAAGAAGTAAAATAGGTGCCCTTATGTTTTCAAAACGCACAAATATGGTTAAAAATAGACAAACTCAACATCGAGTTAATATTATTAATTCAATTTAAATGACACGTTTAAACCCAATAGTTGAATTTCTCCATATTTGACCCAACGTTGGGTTACCACAACCCAGAATTACTTCGAGCACCGCTTTTAAAAAATAAGTACATAAAAGCATAACTCTCTAATCAAATTCACTTATAAAGTCTGGGTTTAAGTTTAATGTACACTAAGATCACAAATTATTATAATAAAAAAGTGTTACATTCAATAAATATCTGCGTCAATTGCATTGTTCCTTCCTTTAGTTTCTCTTCTCATATAAGCCAGGCCTAATTAAAGGTCACTAGGGGCCAAATTTGCCCCATGGGCCTCAATTTGGACATTTGTGTTATTACCAGATGAGACTTGAGTGCAAGTAACATGATTTTGGAGTAAATTTACTGTCAATAAAGTACACTAACCATACCCAACCTTAGTTAAAATCAACATTTAAATGAATAAGATCCTGTCAGTGGGGCTTTACATACTATGATGCACATTTAAAGCAGATTGAGTCATCAATCGACAGTCAGCAAGAACTGCTCTTTCCAGTGAAAATACTTCAATTTCCATGAAGCATCTGATGTGTCACTTGATTAAAAGGTGGCTGAGAGATATTTCAATGTTTAAATATGGTCAGAGCAAGCAGGTAAACACTTGTTTTCTTAAGTAGTATCAAAATAATGCACTTTGATGGTACAGCTAAAGTGAAGAGCGTTAATATAATCCAGATTATTATCCATCAGGCCTGTCTTGAAGCTTCTATCTCTTTAGCATAGCCACTAGAGTTAGAGACAAAGTTTATTTAAAGACCAAGATAATACATCTACACACACATCATAAATATAAAACTAAGACTAAAACAAACTGCTGAGAGAAGGCCTACAAGTTTGCGGTGACTACTACAGGAGTTACTCACTGAAAACATGGCTGGTGCTCTGCTTACCCTGACTGAGAGGCCATGGCCTCAACCAATGAACCATTGGAAGAGGATTGAGGGAAAATTCCAGACAACTTGATGGTTCTTTTTCCAGCTAGGGCCCGATCTGGTCTCTATCGTCCACTTTGAGGCAGACTTCTCTTGATTTGGCAGCTTTCACGCTTCAATCGTCTCTGCTGCTGCTGCTGCTTCTGCTGTATTTCCTGGGAGTTAAGATAAATCTGACTTAGGGAGGGGAGGTTTCAGTCTGCCTGTGGATCAAACCACTCGCCTGAGCGGAGAGGGCACAGCTTTAACACACTCAGGGTGAACACAATCTAAACCTAAAGCATGCCATTTCACATACTCAAAGCCAAATCAGCAGTTTAATATATTAACAATTTCACCATCAAACTAAAAACCTGATTAATTATGTGCCAAAACTAATGACTTCATATTTTACATAACCTACACTAATTGTAAACTCATCCTTCAGGAGAACGCAACACAATCTAATCCTAAAGCATGCCATTTCACATGCCCAAAGCCAAATCAGCAGTTTAAAATGAACTGTTTAAAAAAAACGAATGAAATATCCATCAAAACAAATGACTTCATATTTGACATAACCTACACTGATCATAAACTCATCCTTCAGCATGTTATTAGCAAGACCTCAACTTGAAGTAAATGTATTTCAGCATGACTCCCTGAAAACTCGGGCTCTCTCTGAGATTGAGCACCCCTTTGTGTGCTGTGGAGAGTGGTATGTCCCACCACCGCCCTTATAAGGACATGTTATTTTATGCCAGGCAGCCACTCCTCTGTGTGATGTCGAGGCTTACGGGAGCCAATCGGCTGTGGCCGCTCGGTAAACACATGCCCTCCCCCCACTTGGGTCTGAGTCAAAACCAACAGAGTCACTTTTTTTCTTAAAGGGCCAGATGCAGATTTTGTAGAAGTCTAAAGGGGGAAAACATTAGTGCATCCAGGTGGAGATGAGGCAACTTGGTGCAATATAGATATCAGTGTGTCCTAAAACAACAATAACCAACCATTATGGTGGTATAAAGTTGATAAAATGTCTTTTGTTTGATACTAATATACAAAAATAGTCAAAATCACTAACCACTAAGCTTTAAACAACTCATTAGGGTTGGGTGCTAATATCTCAAGAAACCTCTTTCAACATGAACACACACACATTTGTTTGATTGGAAAAATGTTTACAAGACCCAAAAGGATGCCATATATATATATATATATATATATATATATATATATATATATATATATATATATATATATATATATATATATATATATATATATGAAGTACACCATTTATAATACTCAAATGTGTATATTTTCCTTTTTTTTTTAGACACTAATGATCATCTTTAATTCCAAAAATTGAGACATTAAGATGTTAATGAACCACAATTTAACATTTACTTTCATACATGTCAGTGGTAAACATTCCTTATTTACCTTAAGCATAAAGTAAGTGTCTAACCTCGTCTATAGAGTGATGTTATTCAGTGTAAAGAATTATGTCTTGGTGTAAGAGGAATCTGCATCATCCCTCAATGACAAAAGCGTATGATAAATTACCAAACTTTACAAGCTACAGCGAGCTTTAATCAGTAAAGTTGGTCGCTGTTATTCACATCCACACCACCCCCCAAAAAAAACCAACTTAAACTACAATCCTAACAACAATAAATAAATACATACAAGTCTAAACTAGTGCTTTTTCCTAACCAAAGAATTCTTTCGCATTAGAATTATATGGTTTCAAAGAAAGTTCAACCATCGTTTGAACGATGGACGGAAATCAAATGCTTAATAATAGTCACTTAATAACAGGAATAACCTCACTGTGATGATGTCAGACCGTCCACTTACTTATAAAAATGATTGTGACACATCAGATGCTTCATAGAAATTGAAGTAGTTGTTTTTACATTTAGTACTTGCTGACTGTTAAATAAGGACTTCAAATATGCTTCATAAGATGTAAGATAGAATGTAAATGTTGATTTATCAAACTCGCTTACAAATTTTTCTAATTTATTCACCACAGGCTCATTGGAAATATGCGCCTTAAAATATGTTGCTTTGTATACGCGCAATTACACGTTTCACATGACAAATCCACTAGAGGGCGATATCTGCAATTCTGTGAAACAATTCATTGGTTCGTATACGTTTAGCTGCACATTTCAGATGATGAATCCACTAGAGGACGTTGTCTACATTTTTGCGAAACCATGTTGTATGTTTAGTTGCACGTTTCAGATGACAAATCCACTAGAAGGTGCTGTCTACATTTTTAAAAACGTAAAATACTTTGCCGTATGTACGTTTAGTTGCATGTTTCAGATAACAAATTCGCTAGAGGACGCAGTCTACATTTTGGCGAAACATAAAATACATTGCTGCGTGTAGGTTTAGCTGCACATTTCAGATGACATCCACTAGCAAGCGCTGTCTACATTTTAAAAAACGTAAAATACTTTGCTGTATGTACGTTTAGTTGCATGTTTCAGATAACAAATTCGCTAGAAGACGCAGTCTACATTTTGGCGAAACATAAAATACATTGCTGCGTGTAGGTTTAGCTGCACATTGCAGATGACATTTATACTAGAGAGCGCTGTCTACATTTTTAAAAACGTAAAATAATTTGCTGTATGTACGTTTAGCTGCATGTTTTAGATGACAAATTCACGAGAAGGCGCTGTCTACATTTTTGTGAAACGTAAAATACATTGCTAAGTGTAAGTTTAGGTGCACGTTTCAGATGACAAATCCACTAAAGGGCGCAGTCTACATTTTTGCAAAACGTAAAATGCATTGCTACCTGTAGGTTTAGCTGCACGTTTCAGATGACAAAGCCACTAGAGGGCACAGTCTACATTTTTGCGAAACACAAAATACTTTGCTTCATGTACGTTTAGTTGCATGTTTCAGATACCAAATCCACTAAAAAGACGCTATCTACATTTTTGGAAGACATAAAATACTATGCATCTATGTTTAGCTGCTCGTTTCAAATTATTCCACTTGAGGGCGCTGTCTACATTTTGGTCAAATGTAAAATACGTTTCACCGTGTATGTGTAATTGTATGTTTCGAATGACAAATCTACTACACTGAAAAAAGTGTTGCATGCAAAACTGTTGCAAACAATTTATTTGTGTTGAATTTAAACAAACAAATTAAGTTTAATAATGTTCAACTTAATTTGTTTGTTTAAATTCAGCGCAAATAAATTGTTTACAACAACTTAACGTAAAAAAAATTTAGTAAATCCAAGGAATCATCTTTGAATAATTTTTTTCAGTGTAGAGGGTGCGGTCTACATTTTTGTGAAATAAAAATGCGTTTCATATACGTCAAGTTGCACATTCCAGATAATGAATCCACTAGAGGGCGCCATCTACAATTTTATGAAACGTAAAACAAGTTGCTCAGTGTACATTTAGCTGCACGTCTCTGATGGCAAATCCACTAAAGGATGCCATCTAAATTTTTGCATAACGTACAATATACATTGCTCTATGTGCGTTTAGTTGTATGTTTCAGATGACGAATCCACTAGAAGATGCCATCTACATTTTTGCAAAAGGTAAAATGTTGCTCCATGTGCGTTTAGCTGCACGCTCCAGATGACAAATCCACTAGAGGGCACCGTCTACAATTTTGTGATACATAAAATACGTTGCTCCATGTACATTTGTACATTTAGCTGCATGTTTCAGATGACGAATCCACTAGAGGATGCCATCTACATTTTTGCAAAACGTAAAATAAGTTGCAAATTTACATTTAGCTGCACATTTCAGATGGCTAATCCGCTAGAAAGCGCTGCACAAAATACATTAGCACAAAATACGATGCACGTTTTTATTTGGTGTCGAGCGAAGGACTGGAAGAAAATCCTTTATTCGTGGATATGTCCCTATGAATATCAACAGTGTGAAAAGAAACTAAATTTGTTTGCACCTCACTGCCCCCTAGTGTTCATTTAACATAAAACTGCAGTCAGACATATGTTTAAGTACATTTTTGTGAAGTCTGAAGCACGTATTTCCAATGAGCACAAATTCCACAAAGCAAAAAAGTGTTTAGCATCCAACAAAATAATGAGTCGTTTATATTAACAAGACTGAAAAACACAAGCTGCTACGCACACAAAAAAAAGAGGTTTCACCACACAAAACAAGCCAAATCAATTTGAGGTAATGCACAACATCCCTAATTACTTTAATACGGTAAACCAAAACGCCTCAAGTTTCCGAGCGTCTGCTCTGGTGAGGTTAACAGGTTCCTTAAGCTTTCAAACTGGGACATGCACGGTTACGCAACATGCAAACACGAGATTGGAGGTTACAACGATATTTGTATGCTTTTTTCATTTCTTTTGTTAAAAATGCAAATAAACCCAAAGAGACGCGATACCTTCCTCGTGTTTTAGTTGCTGTGAAGCACTATGCTCTCAGAGCTGCCACATATACAATCCCACATTTTATGCAAATTATTACTTAGCCTGTAAGAAGTCGTTTTTAATCGAGTTTAAAAAGCACACACACACACACACACACACACACACACAATTTAGCACTTAAGTCAGACAGCTAAAGATATTAACATATTATTAAACAAATGCATTTACTTTTTTAATTACCTTGCATATTTGAACATTCAACAAGAGTTCTGCACACTAATATCTGAACCTGACACTATTTTTTGTACAGTTGAAACCAGAAGTTTACATACACATTAAAAAGGGAACATAACCATTTCTAAAAAAAAATGTCTGATGGTAAATCACACTAAACATTTACTATTTTAGGTCCGTTAGGATTACTTAAATGATTAACATTTGCCAAATGTCAGAGGAGGGAGATTTTTTTTTTGAGTATTTTTTATTAATTTCTAGACAGTCAAAAGTTTACACACATTTCCTTGGTATTTTTGAGCTTTGCTTGTGAACTGTATAACTTTAGTCAAATGTTTTGGGTCTTCTTCCACAAGCTTCTCACATTAGTTTGCAGGAATTTTGGCCCATTCCTCCTGACAGAATTGGTGTAACGGAGTCAGATTTGTTGGCTGTCTTGCTCGCACAAGCTTTTTCAGCTCTGCCCACAAATTTTCTATAGGATTAAGATCAGGGCTTTGTGATGGCCACTCCAAAACATTCACTCTGTTGTCCTGT